GCAGTAGACCAAAGAAAAACGGGTATTCGTCCAAACCCGCCCCATTTAAACCAAGGATGGACTATACGTATTGGACAGTGGACGTATACGGGAATACCCGTATAAACCCGTGCGGGGATGGACTTACCCTTACCCCGGCCCCGTTATATATATATATATATATATAAAACTCCTAGACCCAGTTAAAGGCTTAAAGTCCTAAGGCCCCTAGCTCTCCTCTTCCTCTATCAGCAGCACCGCCCGCCTCTCTCTAGCTCTCTCTCCTCTTCCTCTGAGCTCAATCGCTGCACTCCTCTTAAAGCCCTAAGGCCACCTGTTTTGTCATGTTTTGGTTTAATCTCAACAAATCAACCAAGTACTTGCCTTTGATTTCCATGCTGAGTTTAATCATCAACACTTTCTATAGTAACAAGGAGATCTTTCTATGTAAACTTATCAACAATTCCTCAGATGCAAGTTTCTTTTGTAGTTGTACTCGAATCGGTTGGATATGATTTTTCTTTCTTTAATAGATGTATTTTCTATTGATAGATTAAGTTTTTTTCTTTTGTTATGTCAGTCCGTTATTTGATGTGATTCATCTGTTATAGATTGTTGCTATATGTAGATCATGTTCTTTGAATTGTGATTTATTTATTTTTCCTGTTTCTGTTATGCCAATCCAAATGTTAAGATTTTGTAAGGATCTGTTTGTGTTCAAGATCACTTGGCGTAAAAGTGAAAATAAACTGAAAATATATAGATTCTCGAGTTATGTGTTTTCTTTGTTGTTTTAGCTCGTTTTTTTTTCAAGTAGTATTTTGGACATTTTTTCTTTGTGTTATGTTGGAATGTAATGCTATATTATGTTGTGTTAGATTATTTAGAATATTGTTGGATTATTTAAAATATTGGATTTATTTAGAATTTTGGATTATGTTAACTTGAACTTGGGCTTAGGCTTAGGCTTAGACTTGGGCTTGGGCGGGTACGAGGGAAGCGGGGACGGCGGCAAGGATTAGAAATTTACCCGCGGACAGCGATGGGGATGAAAATTATACTCGTTAACGGGGGTGGATCGGGGATGGACGAAAGTTTTTTAAGCGGGTACGGGGATGGAGACTATACCCCCCGCCCCCACTTCGATCCACTAACATCCCTACATTAGAATGGACTAATTCAAAGAGACTACACACACGATTATTGATTCTAGACTAAAAGACATACGGTGATGCTTACTAAGTTGGCAAGTTTTACAAGACATAGACGACACATGACTAAGGTTAAGAACTTGACATTTCAGATTCTAGAGAGAAGGATGACCAAGACAACAATGCCACTGAAACAGAGATGACGAGGTCTGAAGAGCTGGAGGAGGTGGATCAAGGTCAAAGTAATAGGGGCCACCAGCTTGATGCCCCGTACTTCCTTTTTGTCTGGAGATCCTGAAACACACTAGAAAAAGAATAAAAGGTTACTAAACAATTAATGGAGCGGATAATCTTACTAATGAAAAGTAAGCTAAAAGGAAATTATAGAACAAATAAAACAGATGATAAGGACATATTAGAACTCAAATTGAGTAGTCCCCAAACCTGTAACCTTAGAAGAAGTATCATTAACAAGTGTAATACTGTGTGGGGAAGGAATATAATGATAAGTATAAAAGACACCAGATGAACCAGTCATGTGGTTAAAAACACCGGAATCTATGATCCAGAAATTACAGGTGGAAGATAATAAACAAGTGAAAGCGATACCTAACCGGACAAAAGTAGCAATGGAAGAAGATGGAGTACATGGCTGCCGAGACATGAACTAAGCATACTTTTCTCAGGTGATAGTAACTAATGGAGCTGACCATGAGATGGGAGCTAGCAAGGAGAAAGTTTCATCCTGATTAATGGCACCAGAATGTTTGCCATGTAAATCTCAACAAAAATCAACAGTGTGCCCTCCACGACCACAATGAGTGTAGGAACAAGAACCAGTACGGCCTCCAATACGACCTCCCCTACCTCCACGACCACCGCGATTACCATGTCCACCCTAAGGACCATCATTGTAACCAGTAGGAACATCAAGAGCTGAGCAGTCAGTGGAAATACTAGGATCAATGGCTGAAGAGCCAAGAGACAAGATAGCACCCCGTAAATGGGAGAAAGCCTCACGGAAAGTGGGAAGACTGAAACCACCCAAAATTTGAGAACAAATAGACTCAAATTCAAGTTTCAAACCCATCAGAAAACGAACAACATTCAAATCATCATGCTGCTTCTACCAAACTGCTACATAGTGGTGAACAGGAGGTAGAGCTTCAAATTCTCACAAACTCCCAAGAGGTAGAGCTTCAATCCTCGAGACTCAAAGTACTCTGCTCTAGGCGAAAATACTGTTTGTACACTTCATATGTACGAATAAAATTACCCGTGACAGAATACATAATGGCTAAGTGATCCTATATTTCTTTGGTTGTGACCAGATAAAGCAAAGTAGAGCTAATACCAGTCTCAATGCTATTCAAAAGTAAAGAGAAAATCTGAGCATCCTCATGTTCCCACCGATCATAACCAGTATCACGTTTCTCGGGTTTAGTTCCCACCAAATATTTTTTAGAACCTTTGCTTTTGAGAAAGGTCCCATCGAGCTTAACAAAGTCATGGAATCATAGTTATCAAAATCATACGATTCGTGATTCAATTCGTACGATTCGGTTCGATTCAGGCACAAAACAATTCGTATCTTATATGAGAATCGTTTTTAGAGTTGAATCGCATTTAAATCATATGATTTGATTCGTATTGCACAAATCGCACGAATCAGTCACTTTTTTTTAAAACCCAAATTTTGAGCAAAACGATGTCATTTTGTTTGTAGAGGAACTCATGCCCTAATAAAAACTCAACCTCTTTACTCATTCTCTCTTGCATTATCTAAAACTCACCTAGCGTTGTCTAAAGCTGAAAGTCACAACTAAAACTCTTGCGTCATCAGCTGAAGGTATGCCTCCTCTTTTTCTCAACCCCTAGCATGCCTTTTTTTTTCTTTGTTTTTTATATATTAGATTTTTCTATCTCTTATCGCCATACTTTAGAATAAATTTTGATTTTTGCTCTCAATTCTTTCATATATAGTTTGTTAGGTTCTAATTTTTTATTTCAAAATATTGGCCCGTATGTTTTCTCCCAATTAATTTTCTTATTTATTTTTTTTTTCATTCATGTTTGTAGCTTAATTTGTACTAGTTATCACTGTTCTGGTTCTTAAATAGCCATGGTTCTATAATGAATTTTTTTGTCAAGTTATTGAATTTGAAAACAGTTAATCAAAAGATGAAAATTAAGCAAAATGCTAGCGTCTTTCCATTTAGACGAGTAGACTACGTGATTATGTCAATTAATTATTTTTAGAATGCAATAATATTTAATATTTAATATTTTTCTTATTTTAAATATGTAAATATTATTTTTTATTTTTGTTCAAATTTTATGTCGAATCTTACGATTCACGATTCTCAAATTTAGGATTCCGATTCATAATACGAATCGCGATTTGACAACTATGCATAGGACCACTAAGGAGAACCGCAGGAGAAAAGGTCGGTGGCAAAGGTGGAGTGGTAGTGGCATTGGTAGTGTCTCGCTTGGGTTCTAGTAATATAACAAGTGAGGAGCACTCAAATAAGAACAAAGGTGAGAAAAAACCTTAAGTAGCACAGAACAGCAGAGTAAGGAGGCTAAGAGAAGCTAACCAAGACAAGAGAGGCCACTAGAATGCTGAACCGGACTGAAAAAGCCCACTGGAACGTTGAACCGGACCAGAACCAACTACTAGACCACTGAACCAGATTGGAAAGGCCTATTGGAATGCTGAACCGGACCGAAAAAGTCCACTGGAATGCCGAATCGGACCAAAACCGAATGCAAGAACGTTGAACTGAACTGAACAACCCTGTTGAAATACTAAACCGGACCAGAATCAACCACTCAACCGGTCGATGGTCTAAAGAGGACTGAGCAAGAGTGAACCGATCCTGCACCGGTCTGAAAAGAGTGAAAAGAGGTGAACTGGTACTGAACCAGTCTGAGAGGTACTGAACCGATAGAATTGGGTTACCAACGAACTGGGCTGGACCAAGCTTCCTTAGGCCAAGCTGATTTGGGCTCAACCTAGAATGATTTGGGCAGCCGATGAACTGGGCTGGACCAAATTTCCTTGGGCCTTGGTTGTTGGACTTTGGAAAAGAAATAGGTTGTATTAATATTGGACCAAATTTCCTTGAGCCTTGGGTTGGACCAAGAAAAGAAATGCCCAAGCCACTGTAGTTGTCTTCTTCGTTGCAAGGGCTAGGAACCCTAGGTTGGAAACACCTCCACTATTGAATCACCGATGGAACACATTAACGATCACCACTGTGACGTTGATCTCCGGTGACCACAGTTCGACCACTACAACTATAGAACGACCTCCACAAACATGTCAACAATCACCAATGTGGCGCTGACCTTTGGCAACAACGAACCAATGTTACCTAGATCGTGGGTCGATTTGGTACGTGATACGGGTACAGTACATAGTACGACACTTTCTTAGGTATGCAATATGACAAGTATAGGTTTAGCTGGTACGGTATTTTGCCTCACAATTCATTTTAGAACTTTATGTAGACCGTTTTCACTATGATACAACATTATATATTACAGAACATTCATAAACACTAAGTTAGTTACCATTTATCTTATAGTTGTGCTTCAATTTCTATTATCTAAAACAATATATAATTATAAATTTATATACATGTAGTTAATTAATATGTATTTTATATTTGTGCTACATGTTCTAAAGTGAATTGATTTAGGATTAGTATTACAATTTAGGGGCGTCCATTTTGGTGATTTGTATCACGAACTCACCCCGTTTGGGATCAATGTACTCAGATCGTGGGTCGTTAAGAGTTTAGTGAATTGTGGTAACCATGCAAAAAACCACTCAACAACAAACACTACACACCGACGAACCACTCAATGACGAACACCACACGCCGACGAACCACACACCGGTGCATTCTTCATCACCTACCACAACCAATATCAACACAAACACCATCCACGACCACTGGTCAAACAGCAACCCTATGCCATGGTTGTGGCTGCACCAATGACAGAACAAAAAAAAAAGATAGGGGAGAAGAAGAGAAAAGGATTGGTGGATTAATTAGATTAATCGCAAGAAAAGAATGATTAATTGGGTTAATTACAAAGTAATTTTGGATCTAATTGCTCTGATACCAAGTTAAGTTTAAAGTATGAGAGAAATCTTAACACAATATGAGAGAGGCAAAGAGAGATTAATCTTACCCTACCTCTCACTTTCAACTTGTATTTATAGTTATTGAACAAACGAAAAAAGACAAGTATACCCTCTGTGAGGTATACATATTACAATAAGTATAAACCCTAATAATATTATAGTAATACTCTCAACAGCTCTCTACTAGTTTCTTGGCATTTTGGCTTTCGTAGGAGTCTTGATGATGGGAATGTTCGGAATTGATGAGTCTTCTTTGTCTTCAACCGCATGGTGTGTTCTGTATAAAAGTGATTATGCGAGTGTTGATCACTCATTTTTGCATCGCCCTTTGGCGCGAGCACTTTGGAACAAACTTTTTGACCTTGCAAATTATTCTTGGGTCGCAACCAGGGATATGAAATCCGTGTTTTATTTAAATGATGTTGGGTTTGGGACAAATAGAAAATGAAAGATTTTTTGACATAATATTTTCTTTGCTACTTTATAGGTGGAAAAAAAAAAAGAATGTGATAATTTATTAGGACAGACGTGAAGAAGTAAAGGGATTCTGGGAGAGGCTTCATTTTTTGGCTTCCTTTTGAATTTCAACGGCTAAGGAGTTTGAAGATATTCCTCTATTTTGTATTAAAGCAAGTTAGAAAGCATCATGTGGCATGTTACTTTTGTTCTTCATTTGTTTACCTTTCTTGACCTGCTTTGTGTTGGACTACTTTTCCACCATTGACTTGGTCATTGTAACGATTTCTTATGGTTATCAATAAATTGTTGTTTCTTATTGGAAAAATAAAGAAAACAGGCACAAAATATAAAATGGTAAATGTGGAAGGAAAAGAACAAAAAGAAGCATTGTGGTAGTAGATCCAAGTCATAATAAGTGAAGGATAAGCGACAAGAAAAGAAAGCACTTGAAAGAGTTTGAATAAAAATGGCAACTGCTTTACTTATACTTCCACCAATCAAGTGCCACATACAAACATTATGAACTTGAAAGTCAAAATCTTTTTACCTGAAAGAAAGCCCTGCTTTCCTCAATTTCTTCGAGGACTTCATTCTTTTGCTTGTCAATTACTTTGTATCTCTCTGTCTCTATTGCCCGAATATTGACACCATGTGAAGGCATTTTCTAGGAAATTGAAATTATAACAGAAAAAGAATATATCAGAATTAAAGACAGATAAGTGGTATACAAGTTAATAAGGGGATCAGAATCAAACAAAATAAAACAGCAAAAAGATAAAACCTAGATCACGATGCTATACCAGAAAAGGGGATCAGAATCTAACAAAATAAAACAGCAAAAAGATAAAATCTAGATTATGCTAGCTAGTAATATACCTCGTGCCCAATGTAGCTCCATATACTATCAGAAGAGGGACGTGATGGGTCAGTACTCAGGTATCCACTATTTTTAAGAGCCATTATGGCATTCTTTAAGCCAGAACCGAAGAACTTTTCATCATGAAGCAAACTCAGTGGATGTTCAAGAGCAGCACAGACCAAGTGCTGTTCAAGTACCTACACGAAAAAGGCATTTCAAACCAAGGAAATGTTTCCCTACGGACCCTACTGAGCCAAAAAAGGAAAGCACTGAAAAATAGATAAGGAAAAGGATAAAAACAGCACGTGAATTAGTTTTAAACAAATAAACCTGCTGGTTTTTGGCATCAAGGTGACAACGCTCAATTGGGCTCCTGAAGAGTTTCTTCGGGAATTTCATAAAATACTGATCAAGAGGCCCTTCAAATGCTACATACACTGCAAGAGATGGCTTTCCCCTTCTCCCAGACCGTCCAGCTTGCTGCCATAGACTTAACACCCATTTAGACAGATCACAATCAGAACAGTACAAGGAAAAGAATAATTAAGTGACAGAAAAAAGAAATAAATTGCTTCCTATACCTAGCTATAGTACCAGGGAAGCCTAGATGCAGGGTCACATCAATGTGTCCAACATCAATGCCCAGCTCAAGGGCATTGGTAGCAGCAATACCGCAAAGATTCCCACCAAAAAAGTCACCCTCAATTCTTCTCCTATCCTGCTCTAACAATTAACAAATGTAAAGACAGAACATTACAATATCAAAATGACACACATGTTTTCGATAATGTAACAACTAATCAGGATAATTTTCCAGATTCGAAGCAGAGTTCTACACTATAGAGTGCATTTATGTTTCCCACGTCAATTGAGTTCCTATCCACAATGTGTTGGGACTTTGTGTGCTCAAGCAGGTGTATTCTTTCAGATATATTTAATTGAACCCCCAAAGAGAGTGTGTGTATATGTGAGAGAGATAGAGGGAGAGAGAGAGAGAGAGAGACAGCATCCTTTACTATTCCCCCCCCCCACCCCCCACCCCGGGTCATCATCATTATCATTGTGACTAGCAAAATTTGAGATACTGACCCGAGCAATATAGCCAGCACGGTATGCACATATAGAGTCAACCAGATGGGGTGCTGTCTCCTGAAGAATCTCACGCCTTGTCACAATTACAGATACAGAATCAGAGTACACCGTCTTATTTATCAACATACTTAATTAACATCAAAGTTTTAACTACTTAATAGAATGGCACTATGTCACATACGTATAGATTAAAACAAGCTCACAAAGGTTACGTGTTTTGCAAAATGCAATGCAACGAAGTCCATGCTGAACGATTTCTGCAAAGAGAAATGAAACCTCCAAAATTGGACTGCAAAACCACACAGTTTCAGACACTTAAGTAACTAGTACAAATGTTAATGCAGTAGAACTTCAATTCAGATCTATCATTTCTCAATTATAGTCTGGAATGTTTTAGTGCAATTTAAATTGTATGTGCATGACCAATTCCCTGAAGTAACTCGTGCTTGCTTGGAAGTGTAACATGAAACATAAAGGTGTGAACATCAGAAATGTGATAGAACATGAGAGGATGCCCTATAATTATACAATTCAACAGCAATTAGAAATTTATTACCTTAAACGCCCAACAACAACACTTTTATTAGCAGATTTGTTGGCATCTGTGCTGTTCCTAGTTCTCTTTGAAACCTGTAATCTTGCAGTGTCAGAAAGATGGTAAAGAAACAGTGCATGATCTAACAGTGAATGATAGAACAAAAAAATTAGCAAAGAACTCACAGTTTTCAGGCATAAAGGGGGATTCCAGAGTAGAAAAAGCTTTGGACCAGAAGGGCTACCATCATTCTGAATCAACTCCGTTGTAGGTAAATTTGCAAGTTCCTGTACCATCGAAAGAAGATGTAATTGTAATTTCCACTTAGCCGTTATTGAATGTGATAAATATTAAAATGATAGAGAAAATAATTCCTAAAAATCAACAATGTTGTTTCTGTATGTGACTCATATTTCAGTCACAAGAAGGACTATACCAAGATTATATGAATACAAGCTTCAGAGAATTTAATTCCTATTGGCAAATCTTAAATGGGTGCCCCAATGAAAATAGTGTCGGAGATTTACTTTCCTATTATATTGCTTTCCTATTGTTAGAGATTTCCAATCATATATTACTTTCCTATTATTTTCTACTTTCTTAATATTGTAACGCTCTTTAATATCAATCTAATATAAAAAAGTGATAGGGTGTTGGCAACACAAATCCTACCCACAATATTGTTCCATAATCTCTCTTCTCCTTCTCTTTCTTTTCCTAAACCCTAATATTTAAATTTTAACTTGGTATCAGAGCATTAATCACAACCTTTTTTTTTTTTTAGAAGAAGAGAAAATTTTATTGCATGAATCAAAAAATTACAAGAAGCAATGAGGATTAAACCAAGTTGGCTTAAATCTTTCAAAACACCCTCTAATCAAAAGAATTACATCAATGAATATTCCAACATATCAAAAATATATAAAGGAAATTCAAAGGAATTTCCTCTTCGTTCTCAGNAAGAGAAATGAAACCTCCAAAATTGGACTGCAAAACCACACAGTTTCAGACACTTAAGTAACTAGTACAAATGTTAATGCAGTAGAACTTCAATTCAGATCTATCATTTCTCAATTATAGTCTGGAATGTTTTAGTGCAATTTAAATTGTATGTGCATGACCAATTCCCTGAAGTAACTCGTGCTTGCTTGGAAGTGTAACATGAAACATAAAGGTGTGAACATCAGAAATGTGATAGAACATGAGAGGATGCCCTATAATTATACAATTCAACAGCAATTAGAAATTTATTACCTTAAACGCCCAACAACAACACTTTTATTAGCAGATTTGTTGGCATCTGTGCTGTTCCTAGTTCTCTTTGAAACCTGTAATCTTGCAGTGTCAGAAAGATGGTAAAGAAACAGTGCATGATCTAACAGTGAATGATAGAACAAAAAAATTAGCAAAGAACTCACAGTTTTCAGGCATAAAGGGGGATTCCAGAGTAGAAAAAGCTTTGGACCAGAAGGGCTACCATCATTCTGAATCAACTCCGTTGTAGGTAAATTTGCAAGTTCCTGTACCATCGAAAGAAGATGTAATTGTAATTTCCACTTAGCCGTTATTGAATGTGATAAATATTAAAATGATAGAGAAAATAATTCCTAAAAATCAACAATGTTGTTTCTGTATGTGACTCATATTTCAGTCACAAGAAGGACTATACCAAGATTATATGAATACAAGCTTCAGAGAATTTAATTCCTATTGGCAAATCTTAAATGGGTGCCCCAATGAAAATAGTGTCGGAGATTTACTTTCCTATTATATTGCTTTCCTATTGTTAGAGATTTCCAATCATATATTACTTTCCTATTATTTTCTACTTTCTTAATATTGTAACGCTCTTTAATATCAATCTAATATAAAAAAGTGATAGGGTGTTGGCAACACAAATCCTACCCACAATATTGTTCCATAATCTCTCTTCTCCTTCTCTTTCTTTTCCTAAACCCTAATATTTAAATTTTAACTTGGTATCAGAGCATTAATCACAACCTTTTTTTTTTTTTAGAAGAAGAGAAAATTTTATTGCATGAATCAAAAAATTACAAGAAGCAATGAGGATTAAACCAAGTTGGCTTAAATCTTTCAAAACACCCTCTAATCAAAAGAATTACATCAATGAATATTCCAACATATCAAAAATATATAAAGGAAATTCAAAGGAATTTCCTCTTCGTTCTCAGTTGCTGAAGTCCTTGCTGGTCATGCAGCAGCAGCATCCTTGCCTGCACAGGAACAGACTGCTCTTGGGGAAAAATAGATGAACAACCATTCAGCACTGCCCAATTAGCAAAAAAATCTGCCAGGCAGTTTGCCTCCCTGTAAACATGCTTCAAACTGAAGTTCAAACAGTCCAATCTCCTCAAGATATGTCTCACCTGACCCCAAAACTTCCAAGCTCCAAATCTCAACCTAATATATTAAATACTTGTTGGAACCAGTGGGAGGATTTCAGGTCTGACATTGTCAGAATCTGACATGCTCACATCATATTCTGACATGATGATGTAGCATAAACTTTGTCAGATTTGATCAGGAGCAATACGATTGGTTTGATTTTCCATGATTTTCTAAGAATTATGGTTATTTTTTCCATAATGGTTTGAAGCAGTTTGCATTGACTTTCCAATTTTTTTATGATTTTCGTTTTTTGGGCTATTGGGGTTGAGATTTGCTGGTTTTGAGCCATGTAGCCCTTCGTTTGATTTGATTCTACTATATGGTATGTGTCTATACCATGATTTGAGCAAATTCTTCAAGTTTCTTAAGCTCAACAACTAATTTTTGGGGCTACAGAAGTGCTGTTTAATTACTGTTTGACAACCTGTGTTACTGTTCCTTGTTTCTTGGCATGGTAATGATTTGGATGTACTAAGAAGCCTATGTTTCTCTACTTTAGAGATAAAACTCCGCTATCTCGCGGGCATTGTTTAGGATAACCCATGTTTGTTTGGGTTGATTTATGAGGGTTTTTTGGTGGTTGGAGGGTTCAGCTACACAATAGGGTTTCTCAACTGTGTTCAACCCCAATTTTGGGTATCTGGATGCTTGATTTTTGTTATGTGCTGGTTGTGGATGTCTGAGTTAATGGGATTCCTATTTCTGTATTGTGTGTGAGTGAGATTGTTGGTTTTTGTAGAATACTAGATCCTTTGGATTGTTGGGTGGTCTTGTTCGCCATTGTGGAGTATTTGATCACCATTGAGTGTGTTTTCCATGGGTGGTTTCTTCTTGTGTGGAGTTGCATATTGCTACTATTATTTTATTTTTTTATGGCCACTCATGTTGCGATCATGAATAAGGGTAATTTTGGTGTTTTTGGTGGTCAAGATACTGGTCATGATGAATATGGTGATCGTTCTAGTGATAATCGTTCTAAGTGGAATGTACTTATTGTTGCAGCACTAGACATACTGAAGATTATTGTTGGAATAAATATGGGATACCAACATATGCTAATTAGGCTTCCGACAATCCTTCGGGTTCTCGAGTGCATCAGACTTCTAGCGATAATCGAACTCCATCCTCTTCTGGCTCTCATGATTATCGTTCTTCTCAGCTTAGTTAGCTCATCCATCTTTATTTTTTCCATATTTGTCTACTCCTACCACCAGTTTTGCTAACGAAGGTAAATCTGCATGTGTGGCCATCTAACTTTTTTTGTCTTCTTGGGTCATTAATTCTAGAACTAGTGCTCATATGTATGGTATTTCTTCTATATTCTCTAATTTTCGTTCTTCTAACTCACGTAATGTGTTAGCTGACTATTCTTTTCGATTGGGACATAGGACTGACAATCTTTATCCTACTCAGACTATGCCATTATCATCTGGTATATTTGTTCCTAATTTTTCTTTAACTTATTATTTGTGAGTCAATTAACCAAGTCCTAACAATGTTCAATAACTTTTTCTCCATCTTCTTGCATTTTTCAGGACCTTAAAACAAAGATGGTGATTGGTTTAGGGCATGAGAGCAATAACATATACTACTTGGATTCCAATGGTTCTATTCCTGCCATGAGTGCTACCATGTCTCTTCTCCAATGGCACTTTCGACTGGGTCATCGTTTCCAAGTAGAAGTTGCGTCAAGTTATCCTTGATTTGAGTTCTTTTGGGTTAGAATGTGAGGCTTGTCAAGTAAGCAAACATCACCGTAGCTCTTTTCTTCCGAGTTCGTCAAGTCGCCAATCAAGTCTTTTTAATGTTGTCCATTCAGACATTTGGGGTCCTTGCAAGAGTCAAAAATATCTCTTGTTTGTATCATTTTGTAATCTTTGTTGATGACTTATGTCGTGTGACTTGTTTATTCCTTATGAAAGATCGATCTGAATTACTTGGAGTTTTTATCACTTTTTATAATGAAATTATAATTCAGTTTGATATACATATTAAAATTATACGGTTTGAGAATGCCCTCGAGTATACTCAATCGTTTATGAAAACTTTTTGTGCTGACAGACAGTACTTATAGTTTGTAGTATCTTGAAAGATTTGTTGATAACTTCTCTCATTTGACTTAGTTATTCCTTATGAAAAATTGATCTAAATTACCCTTGTCTTTACCATTTTTTATAATGAAACTGATTTAGTATGATTTACGAATTAGAGTTATAAGGTCTGACAATGCTCTGAAGTATATTCAATCATATATGAAAACCTTTTATGCTGATTGTGGCATTATCCATCAAACTAATTGCCCACATATCTCCCAACAAAATGGAATTGTCGAACGTAAACATTATCATTTGTTTGATGTTACCCGCCCCTTGATGTTTAACATGCATGTGTCAAAACCATATCAAGTTGTTGCGGTCCTTACTTCAATTTATCTTATTTATTGCATGCCTTCCCCAATTTTGCTTAACAAGTTTCCTTTCTCCTTACTATATCCTAATACACTGCCTTTTGGTTTAACCCCTTGTTGTCTTTGTTCGTTTACTTGGTTTTGGTTGTGATAAACTAACACCTTGCTCATTCGAGTGTATCTTTCTGGATATTCTCATACTAAGAAAAGTTATCGGTGTTGTAATCCTGTCTTTTGCCGGTACCATGATAGTATCGATGTTACCTTATTTGACTCATCACCCATCTTTTTTGTGTTGAGCCATAACCTTATTACAGATTTGTTGTCTCCTAGTCAGGGGGAGCTTTTGTTACCTATTATTCTAAACCCTATGCCTTTTCTTCCACCTCTACTATGGGTTTACAGTCGCTACAAGGCTAGATAGGTTGTGCATTATGCTCCAGCTCCATAGCCAACACTGACTTTTACTGAGGTCCAACCTTCTGAACCCTCTGTTACTCCATCGTTTTATAATCTACTCATTGCATTACGGAAAGGTACTTAGAGCTTTACACAACATAATATTTCTAATTTGTCTCATTTCATCAACTTTCCTTTTATCCTTTCGTTATTTTGCATCATCATTGTCTTTTGTGTCTATTCCTAACTCTTTCAAATAGGTGTTATCTTCTCCACGATGAAAATTGGCAATAGATGAAGAAATGAAAGCTCTTCATGAGAATAAGACATGGGACCTCGCTTCATTACCTCCTAATAAGCAGCCTATTATTGTCGGTGAGTTTATACTATGAAGTATCCTCCTGATTGTTCTGTTGAGCGTTAAAAGGGTGGTTGGTTGTCATGGCTCATACTGCAAGTAAAATGTTATCGATTCGCCTTCTACTTTGTGAGATGGGTGTTGATGTGTTGTCTCTTATGTAGATGCACTGTGACAACCAAGAACCATTTTTATTGTCAGTAATCTAGTGTTTCATGAGCATACCAAACACATCGATGTTGATTGTCATTTTATTTAAGATCTCTTAATGCAAAAAGAAATCATCACTCCTTATATACAGTCTGATGATCAACTCGGTACACCTTTAGTAACCTTTGTTCAAAGCTGGATATTTTTTATCTCTATGCTCCAGCTTGAGGAGGAGTGTTGTAGGTTTACTTTCCTATTTTACTTTCATATTATGTTTTTTTCTTATTGTTAGAGATTTTCTTTTCTATTATATTCTTCCTTTCTTAGTATTGTAATACTCTTTAACATCAACCTAAAATAAATAAGCGATAGGGCGTCGGCAACACACGTCCTACTCACAATATAATTCCATAATCTCTCTCTTTCTCTTTACTTCTCATTCTCTTTCTTTTCCTATACCCTAATATTCAAGTTTTAACTAATAGGAATATGCCCGTTGCATTGCATTTAAAACTTCTGGCTCAGTGGGTGAGCAAATTACATCCATGCTCAGGACAGGTAGTGAAGGCAACCCAGGGCCGGAATGAAAATTACACATGCTACATTTACCAAGAATAAATAATGAAGTCCTATAAAATTTTGAAAAATTAAAAAAAAAACTAAAAAAAAAAGATTACCATAGCATGCTCACGGGGATTAGCAGAAGTTGCAGTACAAAATACAAAAGAAGGATCACTGCCATATACTGCACAAGGAAACAGGATGCGAAAGTAATTTTTTACATAAGAAAAGTAGTACAAAATATCCCCCATCTGTTGTAAAGCACATAGGGAAAAAGTACCATGAGAACAAAGCCGGCGAAGTCTCCTTAAGATAAGAGCAGTATGACATCCAAATGCTCCCTTATAAGCATGAGCTTCATCAATGATGACAAACCTGGTAAATAAAAATTTATATAAACCCCCTAAAACAACAAATGAAATTTTTTTATTTACTCATTTATATATTTCCTTGGGGATAGCAACCAAAGCCGATTGATGAAGAAAATAAGAAACATTTTTCCAACATAATTGAACGAAAATATTAAGACATGTCAATTCGGTCAGTCACTTGGTGAACAAAACCAAAGATAGCAATCCAGCAAAATTACCTAAGATTTGATAAAAGTCGCCTAAACTGTCCATGGAATGGCAAGATTGACACGTGCAACATATCTGGATTTGTAATCAACTGCACATGAGCTGACAAAAGATTCAGTATGCATAAGTGAGGCAGCCAGCTGAAGAAAGGTCATCCTGTCTGAGACAACCAACAACTTTCTGAAATACCAGTCTAGAATTATCACGCAACCAAATCCTATCCTCCTGAGAAGTGTCCCCATCATATACACCAATAGGTAAGCTAGCATCAAACCCTTTCGTCATAGAAAGCAAAGCTCTTAGTTGATCTTGAGCTAAAGCCTGCATGACTGACATTTTGAATTATATAAAGACAACCAAAAATCAAAAAACTAGAGAATTCAGCAAAATCAAGATAGGTTAGAGAACTGGAATTCGATTGAATCAGTAGAACCAAGACTGCCATCACAAGAATGAAAACAGTTAATGATCTATTGAAATAACCTTTGTTGGAAACAGGTACAGGGCACACGCCAATACGTTTTGGTACAATACTTCAAGAACGGGGAGATTGAAGCAAAGAGATTTCCCACTGGATGTCATGGTTGCCACTACTACATTCTTACCAGCAAGAGAAGCTTGAATTGACTCTGCCTGCAGAGACCAGTAATAGTAAGACCTAATACAGAAAATGTAAGAACTAGAAACGGCCAAATTCAATACCAGAATCCCTACCTGGTGGCTATACAACCTAGTAACTCCAAGACATTTAAGTGCGGATTTTGCATTTTCTGAAAGTTCACTTGGAATTGAAACATAGGTGGCCTTTCTTGCGTTAATCTCTTCAATATGTACAATCTGCATCAGAAAAGTTTACTGCTCAGCACAGCCGTCCACATGAGCATGGTTATAAGCACAATGGCATTACCCATAAGTCCTGATTGACTGACTTGTATGTATTGCCGATTAACTAAAAAGTGAAGAAAAAACAAACCTGTCCTCGACATCCAATGCCTCTTTTCAGATGTTCAACCATTTCCACAGGTACCAATGGATTTGTGTCCTGATAAGACAAGTGATTGTTGAAGCGGCACAGTTTTTTTTTTTGAAATATCCTCTTCAACTTGATTATCCAAACAATGTGGCTACGAATATTTGACTGAGAAAGATTACAATATGTTGCAACATGCAAATATAAAGAGCAGAAGAGACAAGCAAATAAAGTACTGGTTAACCAAGTATCTGGCATCAAATCCGGATTTGGTAAGGAGAAATAATTTATGTTACCCTGTAGTCAATCCTATTTTTGTTCCCTCAAGTTCTTCCTCAAATGACCACACCAGTATTCTTAGCATAAACATAATGAGGCAAAAAAGCAAGTTTTACTAGTGTACCACATAAGCAACACTCCAAACACCAATCAAAATCTCTAAATAGACAAGAAAAACTGACGAAAACTGCTAGGACAAGAGAGAAATATTATGTACATTAAGTTGCACAAACACCTTTAGAATAAAATAAATTTAGGAAAAACTCCCATAAAAAACACCTCTAAAAGCCCAAATCTTACAAAAAGGAAACAGTCTATAATCCATTTACAATTAAACACAATGAGCATCCACGCCACTCTATTATTTTAGTTATAGCCCCTTTCTTGTATATGAAAAGAACCTAAATTCCTGCTACGATCCAAATTCCAAAACTGCTGGTATTTCATACCCGGGAAAACATAGAACAAGAATACCAGGTTCAATTCCTTTACCAGAAAAAACAATGGGACTCAATGGCTACAATTATATTACCTACCAATAAACTAGTATATAGACGAACAAATAAATGCAAGTAAATTATCATCTTCGTGACTTCGTTACATATTCCGTTGCACAAATCAGCTAATATACAATACCTTCCATTCCAGCAAGCCCTTAAATTTAGGCAGTAATAATTTGTTATATTTGTTTCTCTTTTTACATTCTTCTGCCATTGATTTGATAGTAGCATATGGCGATTGGTAACGGATGCAAGAACCAAAACAAAACTATAGAGATATAATACTTACATGACATCGAGCTTCAAATGAATGAGCACTTGAAGTTGCAGAACAGCTTTTCCTTGTGCGTTTTGCTTCATGTCTACTTGCAGTAGTACCAACTTCCTTCACAAGCATAATAATATTTTCCAAGGAAGAGTGCTTGACCATGTCATTTCCATATTTACACTGTATGGAAAGATTCTTATTATCTAGAAGCCAAAATGTTACAAAAGCAGAAAGTTAAAATAAAAAAGCCCATTCCGCAAATGCATAAAGGCAATTCCAAGTGGACCCAAACCCAATTGCCAGATCCCAGCATCGCACACAAAACAGACATCACTCACAATTTGTGCCTACAACCAAAATCGGACTGAGCATCCTCATTTATATGAGATATAAAGATATCAACTGGATCCCATAATGTTGACTCAAGCTCATAGCTCCCAAATAACATTATCCTATGGTTAGAATCTCTGACATAGAAAGGTGAATTTAGCCTGAATGTGTAAAAGTTCTCTAGTTCAAGCACAAAAAAACATACAAGCAATCATTAAGAGCAAGGAAAACATGAAAGGACAGGTAAAAACTCTCTGCATGATCTTACTTGCTTTTACGGTCGGATTCCAAATTCATATAGGTTAATAGACTAAACAACAAAATAACTACTGGAACTCTAACGCCAGAGAAGTTGGAAGCAAGTGAACATACCATTAATGATTTGACAGCTCCCCACAGATTTGTTATGAATGAACTTTTCCTTCTCTTCATTGCACTGACAATCTTCGATATAGGCATACGCTTTTGAGCTATATCAAAAGAACAGGAAGCCAATATATTACCATTTGGACAGCTGAGCAATCATAATCAACTACAAAATTTGAAAAGAGAAGTAAAATATCGTAAAACTACCAGCATTGGTTTTACTTTCAACGTGATCTGTCTGTTCCATTGCACATTTAATGATGACAAGGGCATCACGTGGTTTTTTACCCTCTGCTTCATTGTCAACAAAACATACAACCTGAGAAGCAAAAGACATAGATATATGCCTGAACTAACTGAAATTCGCAATATCATGTCTACTACCATCACTCTGTTTTGTTTCAGACTAGAAATTGTAGAAAGTTCACTGCAACATATGGCATTATGGTCTAGGACCCTTGGCAAATATGTACTGATACATACATGAAATGATCAAGGGAAAGAGGAGATGAAGGGGAAGCTAAACAATGTGGATTATATTTGACATTAACAGACATATATTGTCAGTGTTCTTAGACCAAGAGAAGGCTTAAAACCAATCGATTAGGGATCAAATCCTGGCCTTCAGCAAGTGAAAATGTACCACAAATCTTGGCACTGGCAGAAGTTTTGCAAGTTAAAAATAGAAAAAATATGTTCAGATATTATGAGATGGCATCAAACATTTGCATCCTTTTGGTGGTACTCTTCGAAATGACATGGCAATCATGCAAAACTAGCAGTCAATTGGAAAATAGGCTGTTAACTGGATTGCATGGACGGAAAATCTTGAGAATTTGTAGATGAGATGATATTCAATACCTGTTTGTTCATTTTTTTCAGAAAACAGTCCTCCAGAACCTATTTTTGAAGTACAGTAAGAATGGTGAAGAGATGGTATGTTCAACTAGTCCAGCAAGTCATATGGACATAAAAGAAAGTCATTTGTGGTAAATAATAAGCATTTTATAATTAACCCTTTCTACTTGAATAAAAAATCTGGATGATAAAACAGTGCACCTTTCTAGATATTTCATATGTGGTCATAGTGTAATTAATGTCACTATGACCTTGAATCAATTTTAATTAATTTGAATCCGCAGTGAATAGCAGTACATCTTATGGAATCCAAGCAATTACCTTAGGACAAAGTACAGAAAGATGCTCAAGGTCTGCAATTCCAACTTGAAGTCCAAATTTAAAAAACAGGTCCAGTGCCCCTCTCAAAGCAGTCAAGGTGATTTTTAGCTGCTGGAGTTGAATAAACGCATAATAAATGTTTAAGAAAGCAAATGCCTTCAATATTCTCTTCAACCATGATGGACACAGACACAGGCCACTCTTGTCTGCAGAGAGCTCTGCTTCACTTCCATGTATATCAGCTTCCTTTAACAAACAATTCCCAGAAGCTGGATCAGAAAAACAATTTAGCAACCCCAACACCTGAATTAATCTATCACGGTTCTGTTCGTCAAGTAGATTTTTACTTGAGGATTGCAATATGCCTAATACAAGATCATCCAAGAGTTCTTCTTGTTTGTTTCCATTGGACACTCTCTTACATTTTGTCTCTGTAGAATCTATAACAGATGTTCTTGCATGCACTGCACTTCTATCTTCAAGATTAACAGCGTCTGAATGAATGTTAGCTTGATTTTCATCGCCAGAAATTGCACGTAGAGACGATAGGTCCTGCATCAAATCGGACCATGCCGAATCAGCTAATTTTGAGCTTGAGGCTTGATTGGAGACAGTTGAGGGTGTTACAGATTGCTTCTGGGTTTGTTGCTGATTTTTTTTTTTAAAAGGAACAAGAACTAAGAATTCTCCGGCACCAGGCAGGTGACTGTTTATCTCACTCTGTAAACTCAATTTCACACCCTGATCCCAAAAATGGTAGCACACATTCAAAATCATAACGAGGCTACAAAATCACAGTAAACAAATACAAAACTAACTAAAATGAACAGGGAGTCAAAGCAGAAGCTTCAGCTTTCAAGAACTAATATACAAACAACGAAACTAAAATGTGATCCTAAAACTCAGACTCTCTCTCTCTCTCTCTCTCTCTCACACACACACACACAACACATGCATACACAAACACGATTAGACAAATATAAACGTTTACATAGCTAATCAATGAGAAATGTAAACTGAAATGGATACAGTATCCACATATTCAGTGATCAACATCCAAAAATACTGTGATTATGTGTGTGAGGGAGGGAGAGAGGGGGGGATTGCCTTCAGATATAGATGGAAATTGAGGGAAGCAGAAGCGGGAGGGAAAGTTTGGGTCAATAGAAGCTTCAGGTCTTGAATGGTCTTGTATGGAGAAATTGAGACAGCAATTGATTCGCCCGTCAAGCTTCGAACTTCTATTTCCCTCTCACTCTCTCTGTCCTCCATTTCCCAGGATAAATTGGCGATTCTAGGCAGAGCGGAAATCCGCCGGAGGAATTGTCTCCTACGTGGCTACGTCGCCGTTCAGGTTCACTTCCGTCGTGGTCCTAGGGTTCGTTTTAGTTCAGGCGTGAGAAAGAAAGACGACGTAATGTTTTGGCGGGGAATTAGTTGCTGAGGTTCGTCGGTAGGTTCACTTGCGTTCCTAGGCACGTGGGAAACATTTTAACTGGGTGTTTTTTAAATAATATAATTTCTGCCTGATTTACTCATCTGATTTATTAATTTAATTAATTATAAAAGTTTTGATTCATGTACTACTTTGAGTAATATTCAATTCATGGATCAATAGTTTTTCCTAGGTCAAATAATTATCCAGCATCTCAATTGCAAGAGAATCATACTTCAAATAATGTTCACCTCATGAACTATCATGTCTTTTGTATTTCACGACCATCATCAATTGCACACATACGTTATACAATTATAAATCTAGGGTGGGACTATTTCACCTTATTTAATTTATTATTATTATTTCTCTATGTATATCTTATTAATAACTAAATTTACCTCATATTACATACATTCATTTTAATAAATAAACTTAATTTATATTTTGTCATAATTAGGATTTCGTTATCTATCTTATCTCATGCACTCATAAAAATAATTTTTCAATATGAATTTTCTTAATGAGATACATGTTAGTATTACTTCTCAATTCAATTTTATATTTGATTTCATGTTTATTATATGAATTTTCATTATTTTTTGTATGTTTTGATATTTCTGTCAAGTTTAATAATTTTTTATTTATAATTTATATGTGTGTATATATATGTATGATTTCAGATTATTTGTTCTTTTTTATCCTTTTACATCTATACTTGTTATTTTATCTTGTTCAATTTTATATTTGTGTTTGATGCTTTATTTTTTTATATTCGGTTTTTGTTTTGTTTTTTTTTTTTGGGTCTGCTTCTTTTTCTTTTTCTTCTTGTTTTGACATAGTTGTTTCTTTTTCTTGTTTCCTTTTTTTTTATTTCATTTTTACTTGATTTTTTTTTCTTGTTTCATAAACATATTTATGCATTCAAACTAATTGTCTTATTTCATTATTTTTTTTTACAATAACTTCTTTCATTAAAAATGTATATATAGAATAAGTGAGCTTAATTATTAATAGGGTGTATGTAGCATGAGATAGATTTAGTCACTAATGAGATAAATATAGAAATGGTGGACTCAATAGTTAGATAATAAAAAATTAAATAAGATAATAGAGATTTATGGAATGAAAATAGTTTCATCCATAAGCCTATTGCATACAACTATATCACCGCATATATAAAAAGTGTATTGATTGGAACCAATGCACATAGCATATTGATGTTCTATCTTATCTATATTTATATATATACTACTAATAAAAGTACACTATTAAGAATAATTTTTGATTGACTACTTTAACCCTAAAGCAATATATAAAGACAATACTAGCCTTATTTAATTTAAAACTCATATTAATAAGACTAGATTGATGTTAAACTTTTAATTAGACAACTTGACTCTCACAATACTAACATTATTAATATGAAATTTATATTAATAAAACTTCATTAATGTTACACATATTCAAGCCTTTCATATTATTTCTTTTAAAAGATAAAAATGAATTGTTAAAATAATTAAATTTACTATTATTTATTTCTATCTATTTTCATTAATTGATGACAAGTTTCTGAATTTTTAAATGAAACTGCATAAATGCACTAGAGGCTTATTTAATATAAGATTTATTTCAATATAATTTGGATAATATTATCAAATCTTTACTTTTCATTTTCTTCTCTTTTATGTTTAGTTTTAATAAATCCTCTTTAGTTATGTTTATTGGTAATACTATAAGCCATTTTATTTGTATAGATTAGCAATGCTACAAATATGTTAAATATTAGATTATATTACTTATCACAACTTAACTTTTTAAATTTGTTCAACCAATTGTTTATAATTAAATGACCACCATAACTTAAAATGATTCACTTCCACATTTTTCATAATTTAATAAGTGTTTGTAATACTTTTTAGTTATATATACCCACATACTATAAAATATATTTATACCATTACTATAATGTTGCAAATAAAATTAATATAAATAATTAACTTCATGTGAAAAGTTATGAACTTTAAGGGTAGAGATTTACAAGAGGCTAATTCACCAAACTTAAGAGCAAATAAAACAATAAACACTAATATTCATTCGTTTTGCAAATTAAAGTGTTATGTCCATAACAAATTATATAATAGAAATATTCAAAAGGTTAGATTTATAAGCTAGTATTTGCTATTATATTTATTTAATTATTTCAAAAACAAAAATATAACTTAAAAAGTTCACGTGCAATGTATATGTGCACGATCTAATATCTAAAAAGACACCCCGCTAAGCTTGTCTTATTATCATCCAAAAGTTTTTTGTCTCAAAACATAAATATTTTTAGAATTATAAATTATTTTTTTAAATAAATATTTTGTTGGTCAAATTTTGTATTTGATGTTAAATTACTTGTATATGTTAATTATACATATAAACAATAACATGAAATTAATGGTTTGCATAAGCGTGCATCAATTAGTTTGTCTAAAAGTACAAATATATATATTTTTTTGGGGTATATAATTAGGAATAACCAGTTCATTTTATTGTACCTCGATTAATCCTCTTCATAATTTAGTTAAATACATGTCATCCACATAAGAATTAAAAAATTTAAAGGGATAAATCCTCATAGTCAGCCCACAAAAAAATTACTAAATTTTAAATTCAAGATATCTAAGTTTAGAATTTATCCCAATCTCCGTAGGCTTACCCATTGGGGTTAAAAGTACCAAAAACTAGGAAAATCATAAGTAATATTAAGGACAATCTACTACCGTTGCTATTAAAAAACTTTTTTTGGTCAATGCTATTAAAAAACTAAAGTAATATTGATTTCATGACCAAAAAAAAATTAACATTAATTCTGTCTTTTTGAACAAGACAATTTGTTAGGCCATTTTCAAAAGAAATTCAAACTCTTAATTAAATTTGAGTATAAAAAAAAATAAATAATTTGATTTAGTATAAATCTTTTTAATACAGAAATTCAAATTTAAAGGAAAAAAAATTTAAATTTAAATGAGGACAAATTAAATTAAAAAGAAGATAAAATATGATTATTAAAATTTTAAAGGAGCGTAAAATCTCAAAATTAAAATTTTGAATATGAATTTAAATCTCTATTGATTTGAGTAAAAAAATAAATATTTTTTAATTTGATATAGATGTGTTATGGGCGTAAATTTTTGCTTGAAATTTTCCCCATGGCATTGTCACCCGTATGTCATAACTATGCCAATAAGCTAAGGGGTAATGATATGCGTCGAATTTTTTACTAAAATTTAAATTTAAGTATAAAAACGAAAAGAGAAGAATTAAAAATGCTTTTAAGGCGAAAATAAATAAGAAGAAACATAGTTACATTTCACTGTTAATATGAAATGACTCTTTTTGGGCATATACACCGAATTGGAAGAAGTGTAACCATTTGATTCCGCGCCTCTTGCGCATCAATAGACACTAGTTTGAAACAAGGGGCGTTTCTACGGATTTTTCCCAGGCATTGAGGATTCCTCTCCAAGCTTCTATTGCATGATGGGTGAGGGTTTTGAGAAAGAAGATACGGATTCTTAGAATTAATAATTATCAGAGCAAATTTCAGCAAAAGAAAAAGTACAAGTATTGGAAAAATGGTGACGCTAGTGGTGGCCACCACCACCGATCCAGCCTCCATCGGCCCTGCCTCCGCCCTCTTAGCTATGCCCGGTTGGCACCCTGGCCCCCTCATCCAGGTCAGTACTCTCTCCCTCTGCGTTTACGTGTGTTTTTCTGTATTGGGATTGCAAACCGAATTTGATTTTGCAAAATAGGATCTTTGCACTAATTCAACTGAACATGAAAGATGGAGACATATTTATTTTTATTTTTTTCGGAAAGTTACTGCGGTTTAGTATTGAGTGTGAAGAATATAAGAGAAACTGCGATGTGGGTGTTTACTCAAGTTTGATATTGAGTAATTGGGTATTTCCTAGGATATGCCAAGTTTTGTGAATAAGGAAGTAAGGCTATTGCAACACAATAGCAGCATTGTCAAAGAAGTTCACTTGGATAAGCGTTGGGAGGAGGCAACCGGTGAAGTTGTTGATGAGGTCATATTTCTTAGCAAGCACACTGCAGTGTCAAATCGTCCTGCACTCACGGTTCATCCAATTGGTACAAATTTTTCTAATAAGTTTTAGTTTGGGATTGATTGTCTCGTGTAGAGTGTTGTTCACTACAAAGTACTCAATTGTGCTATGCATGTTGTGTTGAATGTTGAGAATAGGTGTGCCTCATTTACTCGAAGGTGACACGCTACCAGCAGGTGGAAAGCCCGGGTGGGCAGCACCTCCTAGTCCTCGGATAGGACCGTGGTTGAGGCTGTTGAAGACCATTGCTGAATCACATAATCTAACACCTGAATTTGAGGTGATGTACTATTGCTTATGAATTTTATGCAAATATTACAACTAAACATTGCAAGGCAAATGACTCATTGCGTGTTACTCAATATATTTGACCTGTTGTAATATTGATTGCTTCTTTGCTAAAACTGGATCTATCATCACATGCAATCTTTAATGATGTATAGTGTTGAGAAGTTATGAGTCAAATAGAGTTGTTTAGCGTATAGCTGGATGATTCATCAAATTTTCTTATTTTTGTGTTGGAGTTATGTCATTGCATTTTGATAATTTTAGTAGGTTTGTTTACTTACAAATTGGCAATTGTAAATTTGTTTAATCTGGTGTTGAAAGCCATGCTGTAGCTTAATCAGAAATTGTCAAGAATCTACTAACTCTACCGATATCATTAGATATTAAAAGCCTCCATTTGTTCATTGGTAATCATACCCTAGACATCTCCTGCCTCACCCTCTTAATATATTTCCTTTATTCATAACTTGATTGGAGTATCTAAGTGAAACATTCATTTTTACATTGATACTTTATTTTCCCAATGGCTTTGCCTCGTGGTCGTGAAATATGGGAATTGGACAAATTTTATATCTAGATAGACTTGCATCTGGCAATATGTACAAAATTCAATATTGCTTGGTTTGGTATTTTTAATCGGTTGTTCTAGGTTTAGGTGCGGAGCCAGAATCCTTCCTTAGTGGAGGCACAACAAAAACAAAATAAACATCCACCGGTATAAAAAGTTATAAGTTTTTAAGCAATAAATTATTATAGGAAATATAAAATTGATATTAATAATATGTCAAAGCGAAACATTTTTTTTTTAATTCTCAAAAATCATATATAAATGATAGACATTTTGATTGAGAAAGGCAATCCAGCTCTTTTCATTCGATGTGCACTGGTTGGATGCATATTCGCATGATCAATCGATGGACAGTTTTGGTTTTTGAGGGAGAACAAGAAATAAGGGATGCACCAATTGAACCCAAAAGTCTACTCGAAATCATCTTACATTTCTTAAGAAATTAATTTTTTGAAAAAGAAAAAAAAATACTCTTTTGGGTCAAAATATAATACAATTTTTGCCTTTTCATGTTTTACTGGCTTAAAGGCCACTAACTTACAAAAAAAAAGTTAAGGGTAACTATACGATTATTTTTACAATTTGTATTAAACAAAAGAGATTCCCTCTTTTTAATATATATACAAGGATTGGTGGGGCATGTCACATTTATTTCCCAGAATCCAAAACTAAAATATTAGTTTCATAGGAGCTAATAGTGGACCACTAACTTACCGAAAAGCAAAAGATATGAACCGCATTATATACTTTAAACAAATCAAGGGGCAATATATTAATTTGAAGAAAATCATATAAACATTTAAAAAAAATCAAGGGGGATAACACCTTAATTTGAAGAAAATCATATAAACTTTACAAAATCAAGTGGGTCATACAATAATTTGAAGAAAGTCACGCCTTTTAAAGAAATATTTGTATGTGGACTGTTGGGAGGTTAGTGGGGGCGACTCCAACCCCCCCGCCCCCAACCAAAAAAAAAAAAAAAAAAACAACACCACCAAAGCTTCAAGATAGCTTCGCCCCCGTCTAGGTTATTTATAAGAATTACCATATGTGATCTATTCCAACTACATCTCTATCTTACCAATCTTTCCAAATCCTTCTTAATCTTACTAATCATCATCACCATGTATCAACTTGGCTATACTTGTCTTGAGGACGTGCCCCCTTGTCTCGTTTCTTGCTTGCCCATTTCTTCTAAAAACATTGGCGCTCTTGGATTTAGCATTGTTCCATAAGTTGCTGAATTTTGAGCTGGTTATGGGAAAATGGTAACAATAAGACCACAAATGGATTGTCCTAGCAAAACAACTCTAATCTTTTTCCTCAATCTTTCTGTCTTTGTCTCCATCTTTATAAATATGCGATGTTTTTATTAAGGTTGACATCAGGCCAAACCATCTCAAAATTAAATGGGAACTTCATGTTCATCCACAGACCAGAGTGGTAATTGTGCATCCTATTTCCTTGACTTAAAACAAGATTGAGCTTTATATCGTAGTTTTTTGCAGCCCAGCTTATTTTCAGGCTAGGAAGCCTTAGCTTTGGCTTTGCATTTTTAGTTCTCTCTATTCTTTTCCTCCCACTAAGTTGATATAATCATTGAAATTTTATATGATTTTTATTTTCATAACATGATCATTTACATGTGCCAGCAAGATACATCCTTACACCAAGTGACAGAATTCCTTCCTTTTTGAACTTTGAGAGACATTTCTCAGCTGGGCTGGGGATGGGAAATCCATGGCTAATCCTTTTCAGTTACTATATTGGACCGAAAGCACATTTTATACGTCAAACTTAATACATGATTCGAGCCAGGAGCAGCCAAGGCAACTCGTTATGGATTATTGGCTGTCAATATTCAATTCTAATATTTGGGAGCTTAATGGAATGTTGAACGATAAACTGCAGAGTCAAAAAAGAAGGAAAATAAGGACCAAAAAGGAAAACCAGAGGCTAGAACTGTGCCTATATTAATCACACGTCTACCCAGCATTAAATGTTATCAAGCCTGTTATAACTCCAATGTTAATATTTGCACAGCACCTGATCTTCTTTATGAACATTTGATTTTTTAAATGTTTACTCATCCAGAAAATTGTTTCTTTCATGAGATTTGGAAGGGTTACTAAAAAGTGTAGAAGAAAGTACAATTGGATCCTGGCATTGAATGGGTGAAAAATGTCAATAGCAGAATATTGATTGTATTTTATTTGACTTGAGTTGGCGCCTTTGTTTTTCTTCATTACAGCATAACTCTAGTGTTGTTCCCTGCAAACTACTCTACTGTCAATATATTTGGCAAACTTTGTCCATATTTTGTGGGATGATCTATCTTTGCTCCTTAGCATGATTTCTTAGATTTATTGTTTATTTTCCATATGCTGTATTCTGTGAGCATATCCACTCAGTTATCTTCTTTTCTATTGGCATTCCTGGTTGTAGGTTACCTTAGAGGCTACTCACCATGGACCTGAAATTAATTCACCCACAATGTTTCTAGAGATTGGTATGCTTCTGTACACCTATCATATTAGTTTTATCAATGATACAGTTCCCTCACGTGTGATATATGATTACAATGTTTGTTATGTTCCCTAGCCATATTTTGATCTGTGTTCTCATTTTATCCAATCAGCAGTGGAAGCAAAAGGTTATCCATGTTACTTTTGATTCCCGTTCACACATTCTTCTGATTTAATTCTTGGCAAACCACCATCTTCTATTTGTTATAGGCAGCACAGAGGAGTACTGGAAGAGACAGGATGCTGCACAAGCCATTGCTTTAGTTGGGTATCTTTTTGTGTGCATTGATTCATTTGTTACAATGTTTCTTCTTTTAGTGAGCCATTTCATGAAGCTTCCCCTCATTTCAGGAGCTAATAATGGGTTTTATTAATTACCAGACAGTGGGCTATAAAAATCTTGTTGCCCTACTCAGTTTAGATGCGGTTTTAGCATTCCTTTTTATCACAGTAAAGTTCAACTGAGTAGTCATAAGATTTTGTCATTATAAGTACCTTCATCCCTCTCTGTCACGGTTGAAGAGTTCATGCACCACCATTTGAGCTTATCAAGAGTCTCTCTCTGGTGTGGGCTTTGTTTGATTGAGTCGAGGTTGGCAATCGCCTTTTTTTTTTTTGGGGGGGGGGGGAGATGCAAAATCACATGTTTACAAGATCTATGAACACTCCACATGCCTGTTTTCATGTTTGAAACATTAACTTCTAAACCTACACCTGTGGCATTTTCCACTGGTATAGATTTTTTGAGTTACAGGTGGGCATCAATGATGTTAAGAATTGAACAGAAGATGGCATGATATATTTATTTAACAGCTGAAGCTTTTTAAAAGATTTGAACTAACTAAGATGTTATTGTGATGATTGAAGTTAGTGTGGGAAGGACTGGGCCTTGGAGGAGGAGTTGACGTCGGAAACTGGAGCAGGTATAGGTTAACAAACTATTATTTTTTTAAATTTTCTAATGCAACATCTAGTATGAAGAGCAGATTATGAACTTTTAAATACAGAATTTAAATTACACTATTGAAGTTTTGTCTTTATTAATGGATTCTGCAAACTAGATATAGACTTTATGGACTTTGTTAAGTTTCCATTCCTTTTACTCAGTTTTTAAAAGTTGTTATTACAAAGAAAATTAGCGTTTATATATTGCTTTCTCATTTCTATTTCTCAGATGTTCCTGTAGTAATATTTGATTTCGAAACTCAGAGCAATAGGCTGATGCAGCATGTTTCTTTTGTTTTTCAATTGTAAAGCTCTATTACAGATTTACTTTTAACACAGGAACAATGGTCGAAACAAAATTCTTCTGGGAATTGGTGGTGGACATTATGTACCAAGGCATATGGATATTGTTCTGTAAGCTAACATTACTTCCAGCTTTTAAGTTTAATTGTTTCTTCAATATGCTTAATTGTTTGGAGGGCATTCACAAAACAAATTCGTATGATCAGCTTATATTTTTATTGGAGACAATCCATACAGCAGCTTTACTACTTTAGTCAGTGTTAAAGATTGAAATTATTCTCCAAATAATATACTTGTGAAATTGATTTTTTTTTATCAGAAATTGCAGTGGGAGTGATTAATTTAGTTTCCAACTTTATGTCCAGCATGAAAACATAATGTATTACTGCAATTGTTACTAATGGAAGTCTGTATTTTAAATTTCCATCTCTCCTCTGGTAATTGTTGCAACAGCAAGAAACTGAGCTTTACAATAGACTGCTCTCATCATCTAGAACTCCAATGCAAAGTTGGCTTGTGAATCTTTTTGTTTTGTATGTGATTTAAACTTTCAATACAATTTTTTTCCAGGAAAGATGGTGCTTGGGTGGGCCACCTACTTTCTGGATATTCATTGCCAATGGAAGATCCCAGTCAGTTTAAAGCAGAGGCAAATGCAGAGGGAGTGGGTGGAGCTTGGAGGGAAGCAATCAAAGTTGCATTTGAGACTACTAAAGCAGCTTTTCCAGGGGGAGAAGTTCTGGCACACCTTGATAACAAGTTAGTCATTCCATTGAAAGAATCAACGTTTGCTATTAATATGATAACACTGAAAACCAAGTCTACATTGTGCTGCCTTTGATTGCTGAGTTTTGTGGGAATACAAATCTTGGAATTCTACTCGTATCACATCAAACCAACCATGCATTGGTTTCCAATGTTATTTTCTTGTCTCACAAAAGTTCAGGAATCAGGCGGAGCCTGGAAGAAAATTCACAATCGTTGAATGAATGGTCTAGGAAATCCCTCAAAAGGTGGTTGGAGATGCTAAGATTTCACCAAATACACAAAAAAGTAACTCTGATAATTACCTTCATGCAAGGAAGTCCATATTTAAGTGCTTATCTACTGAAACAAAAACTAAGCTAGACCTCGTACCTGGAATGTGAAGCCATCCTTGTACGTTCAGAATCATCAGTATTGAGTTTTGACATAAGCACTATTAACTATACTTGTCACATGATCACTTTTGCCACCTCAAAGGCTCAAATGCTAGTCATTATCATCCCAAGAACGTTTGTGGTTTGAATTATTTAGGCTTCATTCATTTGGGAAAAAGATGAAGCTAAGGAATATTTGTATCTATGCTTTATGGCCCATAAATTAGCTTGAATCATGAGATTAGAAGCCCTGTTATACATGGCAAGCTTCCTTTTTAATTTAATGTGTTTTTGAGTCTTTTATAGCAATCACCCATCAAGAATTCTGGAGGGTCCCTTGTCAACTCATAGTGACTGTGACTGTTCGCTTTGATGGAATTGGAGCTTATTAGGAAATGGAGAGGAGCCAAACATGTATGAAATGATTATATTACCAATGTGTGATATAGGATTAATGACATAGGCATAAGCCAACTTCCCTCTCATTGAGCTGCATTTTGGGAGCTTCACTAACGTGGACAAAAATTACAGCTTCTGTTACTAACCAATTACTGATCATTTATTTTTCTTCGATGTGTAGAGTTTCTATTTTCTAATTGTCATCTGGTGGAAGTATTCTTCCAAGATGGTTAAATAATGAGTGATCTTCAGGTGCTTAATCCTCTGGAAAGGAGGTTTGGGTGGATGCCTTTTGACTTGACAAACGGCTATTATGTCCTCATGTTACGCAAACATCAAATTGCAAGCAACTTTTATAACTAAATCGAACACTAAAACAAAAATGAGCTGTAAATGATGAGGAAGCCACCAGAATTTTATGTTGACGAGAACACAAGAAAGAAAAGTAACAGCAATGATCAAAATTTTGTTTTGGTGTATTGTTTCAGTCACCTAAAAAACGAAAATATTTCGATGCTTTTCTGTATCGTTTCGACTTGTTTCAGAAACATAATAAAAAAAATAAAAAATTTAAAAACTATTTTTTTAAAACATTGATTGAAATATATCAAAATATCTTGAAATACCTAGAAACATTCTGAAACAATTGTGCAAATGCATTGAAATATTATAATACATATCGAAACATTATGGAATACCTCGAAATATTAGAATTTCGAGTCCATCACTGATTCGTTTCGGTCTTCTTGAAAAAATAAACGTTTCGGACGTTTCGAAATGATATTTTAATCCTTGCGTAAGAGAGAACACTTCCTGTAACTATAGAGTTTTTATTAGAAGGGAAACACGAATTAGGTTTGTTAATAAAAATAGTTGTTCAGGCGCTTAATCCACTAGAAAGGAGGTTTGGCTTGGATGTTCTTTGACTTGTCAATGTGCTTCTATGTCATTTTACTTTGCCTGCCAGAACCCATTTAAGTTTATCCTGAAGAAGATTGATGCGGCGATGCCATTAGACAGAAACCATTTTTTTCACCTATTAATGTAAAATAATTTCAGGCTAGGAATTGAAAGAAGACCAGAACTAACCATGTTCTGGTTGTGATCAAGAGCTCTATTACATGAACAAATTGCCGCGACCATTGAATCTTGAAAATTGAAAGCAAAATACTTGTTACTTCTTGTTCTATTATATGTTGATCTGTATAAAGAATTAGTGGAACTGGTGTTTTAGGGCCATTGCTCACTGTGTTTCAACGTGGATATGTACATATGGTCATACTTGGTTGTTATAATATGACATTTGTTTTTAGACTGATCATTTTTCAACATACTTTCCCTAAAATTCTTAATCATGATATACAAATTCCAACGAGAAAATCAACTTTATGTGATGTAAACATTGCCGTTGGAACAAATCCACACATTTTACCCTCATTACATCTCAAATTTTCTTTAGTAGAATTCTAGACCAAGCATTAGAAGCACATATTAGGCTTTTCCTAACTGTGCTACTCAGTTGCTACATTGGAAATGTTGCATGTTAATGTTAAAGATGTTTGGTATGTATCATGGAGTATCCTAGAAACATCACTCCAATATGTATTCAAAGTTATTGAATGTGAATAAGTTAGTCCCTGAGGAATGTCATTATCTGAGATGGGTAGGGCTGTGTTTTAGAAGTATCCATGCTCCTAGATAATAAATAATTATGCCTCATTCTCATGTTCGGTATGCTTCATTAGCCTGTCTCATTTTTCTCCATAAAAAAACGGATTGTGTTATTCATTGCAGAGTGCCGTGTAGTGGAAATAGTTTGACTTTGCCCTGATTGAATCATGATTTCCATGAGGATTGTTTCTGCCTCTGTAATATGTTATTCTTTTAGATGCTATGACTGATCCACACCTGCAAACATTTTTGACCTGGATATATTTATCGGTTTTTTTTCAAGTGAATATTTTCTCACTATTTCCAAAATTCTGTATTGATGAATGTAGGAGTTTCAAGAGTTGGCAGAAAAATGCTATTATGGGGTTCCTAGCAGAGCAGGACATAAAAGTTGGCAAGCCTGGTGACTTCTTTTGAGATTCCTACTAGATATTGCCAGTGGCTCTTGGCTGGCTGATTAATTTATATAAGCTTTGCTCATTTCATGTTCAGGGCTAATAGTGACAGCCTTCCCGAATCTTCAGTTTTTATATGATAAACCCCTAATTACACATAACAAAGTCACTTATATCTTTTCTTGTTCAATTGTACTCTATTTTTGATTTTACAGAGAAGTCAGCAACTATACGACTTCACTGTTTACCATCTATCTGATTAAGTAATAGAAAGATATCATATGGTTTGGTTGATAGCTTGGCCAAAACAGTCGTTCCGCACTCTTGGACATTGGAAGTCAGGTCTTCATTTTTGGGATTGGGTGTTGCAGCATGAGGTTGGAAAAAATTCAAGTATTCGCATTTACAACATAAAGTTAGTTGTTAGCTTGTTACTCCTTGAAATTACTACTGCATGAAAATCCGATTCACATGGCCGTAGTTTATTCAGGTATGATCCAGTTTTAGCTCAAGAATTTATGTGCTCTTTTTCGTTTCATAGCTGGAACTCTTGAGCATATTAAAAACCTCGTCTGAGTTCCTCTTTCAACCTGATTCATGTGGTTTGAATCTGTGAAAAAAAATATGACAACTTTGTAATCTGTTGTGAGAATCATCCATGTCCAACATACAATAGCTGGAGACCAGCCAACTGGAAAACATTTGGATGCCGAGGAGGTGTGTTTCGCTGGTGACTCTGTAAACTGCTTTGAAAACCCTGCACAGCTTGGATTTAGTGTGTGTGTGTGTGTGTTTAATTAGCTTTCTTCCCTCCCTAAACAATAGAAGGAAGGGCAAAGACAAGCAAAACTTTCTTTGTTTCTCATTGCAATTCTTGGGGTCTCATGCACCTGAGGGTCCGAGAAACCCGAGGTCACCCACATGCAAATTTTGCATACACAACATTGAAGGTGGCCGGAACCCTAGTGCTGTTTGGGTTGCTAGCCGACTCTCCAATGTCTACGATCAACGTTATGGACAAGAAGCTTAATTTCATGACTAACCGAGGGGTATGCTTAAGGAGTCTATGCAATGGTGTCACAACACATGATGAACTTAGTCTTCTTCTAGTGACACTTTCTATAATGGTCCGGTAGCTCGTGATGAGGAGGGAAGTTAGAGCAATGCCGATTGTTGGTGACATAGCGATGTCTGTTTGTCGATACAGTGTCCGCAAGAATTTTTCTAGGAACCAAATGGCGGCGTGATCGGATATGGTGATACATTACTAAAATTAACCGATAGCGTTAGATTTTATCATTTTAAATTTTGGTGATCTAACATGGTATCATTGTGATATATGTGGTATGAATAATGACAGAGAGAGAGAATTGAATGGTTGTGTGTAATAAAGAGTAGGTTGAACAACTCATTATCAGCACTTGCCATGTATGCCTCCACATTTTACTCCCATACCATGTTAAGAGATTATAACTGACTCAATGGTCATTATGGTTTTAACACTGTAACTCCCTTCTTCACGTTCATACACTCCTTTTTTCAAATTCAAATTACCATTCCCTCTCTCTCTCTCTCCTAATTCCAACCTTCTCTTCTGTTGCCCTTCAAAGCTCTCTCTCTCTCTCTCAAGAAAAAAGTGTTTAGGAATGAGCACACAATGTACGATAACAAGGGTAGTGAGATGGCGAGTGAAGGATTGGGCATCCTGTTTTTATGCATGCAAGTTTCCGCTAGGTACGTAACTGCAACATGCAAAAACAGTAGTAACAGGTTAAGCTTCTGTTGTCTGTTGAATCNGTCAGGTCTTCATTTTTGGGATTGGGTGTTGCAGCATGAGGTTGGAAAAAATTCAAGTATTCGCATTTACAACATAAAGTTAGTTGTTAGCTTGTTACTCCTTGAAATTACTACTGCATGAAAATCCGATTCACATGGCCGTAGTTTATTCAGGTATGATCCAGTTTTAGCTCAAGAATTTATGTGCTCTTTTTCGTTTCATAGCTGGAACTCTTGAGCATATTAAAAACCTCGTCTGAGTTCCTCTTTCAACCTGATTCATGTGGTTTGAATCTGTGAAAAAAAATATGACAACTTTGTAATCTGTTGTGAGAATCATCCATGTCCAACATACAATAGCTGGAGACCAGCCAACTGGAAAACATTTGGATGCCGAGGAGGTGTGTTTCGCTGGTGACTCTGTAAACTGCTTTGAAAACCCTGCACAGCTTGGATTTAGTGTGTGTGTGTGTGTGTTTAATTAGCTTTCTTCCCTCCCTAAACAATAGAAGGAAGGGCAAAGACAAGCAAAACTTTCTTTGTTTCTCATTGCAATTCTTGGGGTCTCATGCACCTGAGGGTCCGAGAAACCCGAGGTCACCCACATGCAAATTTTGCATACACAACATTGAAGGTGGCCGGAACCCTAGTGCTGTTTGGGTTGCTAGCCGACTCTCCAATGTCTACGATCAACGTTATGGACAAGAAGCTTAATTTCATGACTAACCGAGGGGTATGCTTAAGGAGTCTATGCAATGGTGTCACAACACATGATGAACTTAGTCTTCTTCTAGTGACACTTTCTATAATGGTCCGGTAGCTCGTGATGAGGAGGGAAGTTAGAGCAATGCCGATTGTTGGTGACATAGCGATGTCTGTTTGTCGATACAGTGTCCGCAAGAATTTTTCTAGGAACCAAATGGCGGCGTGATCGGATATGGTGATACATTACTAAAATTAACCGATAGCGTTAGATTTTATCATTTTAAATTTTGGTGATCTAACATGGTATCATTGTGATATATGTGGTATGAATAATGACAGAGAGAGAGAATTGAATGGTTGTGTGTAATAAAGAGTAGGTTGAACAACTCATTATCAGCACTTGCCATGTATGCCTCCACATTTTACTCCCATACCATGTTAAGAGATTATAACTGACTCAATGGTCATTATGGTTTTAACACTGTAACTCCCTTCTTCACGTTCATACACTCCTTTTTTCAAATTCAAATTACCATTCCCTCTCTCTCTCTCTCCTAATTCCAACCTTCTCTTCTGTTGCCCTTCAAAGCTCTCTCTCTCTCTCTCAAGAAAAAAGTGTTTAGGAATGAGCACACAATGTACGATAACAAGGGTAGTGAGATGGCGAGTGAAGGATTGGGCATCCTGTTTTTATGCATGCAAGTTTCCGCTAGGTACGTAACTGCAACATGCAAAAACAGTAGTAACAGGTTAAGCTTCTGTTGTCTGTTGAATCTCTATTAAGATCCATAAAACCAAACCATTTTCGTAGAAACAGTTTTTTTTTTTTTAAAGATATGATTAAACCAATTTCTATACAATTATTTTCTGGGATTGCCTTCTTTTTCCCTTACATTATTCTAAATCAGTTTTATACGCTGTTCTAGACGAAGAACCAGATACAATTTGCTGTTCGTCGACTCAAACAAACTACAACACCATGGTTTTCAACCCACTGGATGACAATCGCAGAAGTGAGACTAAGAAAACTGCATCATTTGACAACAAATGCAAAGAAGAGAAAGAAGAATCAGTTGAGAGTCATGAGACGCAGACTATTGATGATACTGCCGTGAGATCAGCAGAAAAACAGACGACCGATGACTCGAGCTGGCCGCGTTTTGCAGAAGAGGATTACATTGTCTTCTGTTTTCAAGAGGACGGAGCGATTCATGTGCTCAAGGATAGGAAATTGGAGGTTTCAAATCATCATATTGATCGATCAAGCGAAAGTTCAAGGCTTGTTAGTCGAAAGGTGAGCAGTTTTTTTTTTAGAAATATTATTTGGAACTGAAAATTTGACCTAATTTACTGACACAATAACGTAGATTCATAGGAATCATTAATCAACACCAAATTTCAATATTTGATGGGTGTATAGTAAATTCAAAGGTCACAGTGAATTAGATCAACAAATTATGTCAGTAAATTAAGTCCGCATTACTCTTTTTTTTTAATGAACTTGAGAGAGAGAGAAAGAGAGACTTAATTTTTGCAGCTTTTTTCTCTTGGTTTTGGAAAAGCAGCTTATTTATGGCGAGAATAGAGAAAAAGTTGTCAACCCTAGGCATGAAGACATGTTAAATGAAGATGAAAAAGAAATTTATCCCACTACAGAAGGAGACTCAAACTCAGCTAAAAGGGTGAAATGCCATACTCAGTGAATTTGTTTGCTTTATAAAAGATAAATAGCTACCAATCCATGCTGGCGTAATTCTTTATACCATATACTATTATCATCTTTTCAAATAATCTTGAAGAGATGTATTCTATCGGGTAGTTCGAATGGGAAGTTCTTGGAGTCACAATCCCGATGTTCTAAGTTCAACTATTACCTTTTTATCACATGTGATTTTTAAGTAATCGTACGTACGGAGTTTCTTTTTCGTCCTAAAAGGGAAAAATTATAGAAGAAAGTAATACTTTTCAGTACGACTTTACTCTATGTAGTTAAGTAATTCTCACATGTTACTATCTCAAGGCTCCAAATCTAACTCTGGAATTTGAATGACGCATGATTAGGATGATCTTTCAGTACAGTACCCGAAAAAAATCTTACAAGTTACTTTTAAGGAACAAAGTTAGTATCCTTGCAGGGTGAGGAGGATGAAGAGAGGCTTCATATGGATACCCAGTTGGCTGCAGATGGGATCAAAGAGGTAAATCACAGTGAGGAGATTAAAGAATGTAAGATGGTTTCTGCTACATCAAGCGACTCTAATCAATCGGATGGTAGCACAAGTTCTTTTGCATTCCCAGTGTAAGTATAATCCTTGAAGATTAAATAACTAATCTTTAATTACATTCCAAAGTGTTCATATTTTCTTGGGTTTTCAGAGGTTAAAATTCTAAATACATCTGCAGATTAGGCTTGGAATGGATGGAGAGTCCAGAAAAAATGCCAAAATCAGAAGACCTGCACTCGAGGAAGCACAAAGCCCGGATTGTGCGCCCTCAGTGTTGCAAATTCTGAAATTAAATCATCCCGAATCCAGATCTCTTCCAATATATATATATATATATATATATTTCAGTGTCCTCAGTGGTAGATCATTCACATTATTTTTGATAGGAGACTCATACATTTATAGTGAATCTCAGTAAAACCTTGGTAATCAGTGGTGGGTTTAGTAGTGGCATCTTAAGTTTCATAATTATGTCTCTGGCATTCTTTAACCAAAGAACCCGGTTCTGTTAGTCTGTTAGTGTTAATCTTTGGTGTACTTCAAATGTTACTAAGGCTCAAGCCCAAAACGGTTCCCAACTAGAGTACATGGATTGCTGTTTGGAACAACAACATGCATTAAAAGATATCAGCTAACTCAAATAGTAAGATATTTTATAGAATTTTTACATATTTTTTTGAGCTGACCAGCATCACAATATAACATCATAGCTAATCTCTTAATTAGGTTCTATCTTTTGGGTTCAAGCTTAACTTTCATATTGTCGACTTACTCTATCATTTTGTATGCAAAATGAGCCTTGGCATACATAAAGCTCAACTTGCCCACAATTGTTCAAGGGAGCATATTACTTTCATGCAACCACCTTGTAATTACTGTAGTCCCCCCAAAGCTCATCTGGCCCCAAGATGCTACATATCCTGTAAAAGTTATTACAATCATTAATAAGAAGATTACAACTCCAAACACCATGTTGACCGGGCAAAAGCACAAGTCGTTTTAGTAGCAAACTGTGGTCAGGTCAATGCCGACAAAACCCATTATGGGGGAAAGAATAGACGAGACATAACACAACAAAGAACCCTAACTGCACAAATTCACAGGCTTGACTTGTCTCAATTGGGTAAATCGATTACCTTGCAGAAAACTGTGAGTGCCAAAACAGTCAGGCTTATAGATCCATGAACGAATACAAACTCAACCACCGCCAGGCGCCATCATTCAAGAACACCGGCCAATGCAGAGCACAAAATATTTCAAAATCAGCTAGAAGACTTTCACCAAGTGATCAAATAAGTGGCAAGTAAATACATATAACTACATATTTGATTCTATCAGTAGTTGCACACAGCATTGTATTTGTATTCTAGTAATATATTCTAAGCACCAGATAATAAACCAGAAAAAAAAAACCTGTAAACAAAAACACCTAAATCAGTAATTGGGTTCATTCCCACGGTCAAATCTTCCTAGACCATAAAGAGGCTTTGTTTTTTGCACAGCAAATGTAAGGAATTAATACTACTCGAGGCAAGGAACATAATTGTACATCGAGAGAGACCCAACAATCTAACAAGTGACAACTCAACATCAAAACGACAACTTTCCTATAATCCTACAGGCGTAGCCACATAGATCAAAATGAAGTCAACAAGAAACATCCCATTGTCTATAATATATGCTCACATAATTCATAATCCACCTCCCTGAACTAGTATTAGCAAATATAGACCCCATACAAAAGCACAATGCCAACCATAGTCCACAATTAACCTACTAAAACACAACTCATGATCGGTGGATCAACAAAGGGTTGACTTGGATGAACATGGATGGAATTATCTACAATAAAAGCCATAACTTTTATAAATGTGGCAGCCTACATTTATGGTGAAGAACTGGTGTTGAAACAGTTCTTGAAATTGCAGCATGGGGACTCCCGTTGCTGGCATTCAAGGTAGTGGTCTTACTACAAATGATTGAAGATGTAACCTTGCTCTGGCAGCAGCGGTCAATGACTCTTCATCTTGCTTTTCTTTCACAGCAGCAACAGCAGAAATGTAAGCCTCTCTAGCTGCTTCCATTTTCTGTATCTCTATCTCATCCAAATCATCCTGCTCAAACCAAACTTGATTCTTCAATTTGCAAATTTAAACAAAAACCACCGAACAATACTTAATAAATCAGCAGGTCCACATCAACTCTTTTCGAGACCCTCCAGCTACCTATTGGCTTAGTGCATTTAATGGTTATTATCAGGAATAGCAACCATTGATTCTCCTTTTATTTTAAAAAATGTTATTCGTCCAAAGCAAACCAGGAATTCTTAGAATATTTTTATGTAGAGTCAACGAGTGCGAAAAAATTCCAATAGCAAGATAAGGAAAAGAACAAAAACATGCCCCTTCCCTCCGAAAAAAGAGAAAAAGAGAATTGCATAATGCAATCAGTTACAGCATCGCTACATACGAGTATATTTGCATGGAATTTCATGGTAAGTGTCCAATACAAAGAAATAAATGTTAATTGCCTTCTCCTAAGAATTTCAAGCTTAACAAGTAATAAGAAGGAAATAATAGTGTCATTGCTTACAATATGAGGAAGATGATCTGAATGGTAAGGTTTGACATCATAATCTTTTGCACCAATGGTGGTTTCACTCTTTGTCAAGCCTTCAAATAACAGCATGAATGATGAAATCTCTTCTTTCATGTTATATAGATCTTCCTGGAGTTTCTCTACTTTTCCGTTGGAAGTAATTGTTTCCCACTGTAATTTTTCCAGGGCTGCTTGTTTGTCAGCAAGCTTAATCTGGGAAAAAAAACCAAAATCAACATTGACCTGAGGTGTTCGCCAACAACAATTCAGCAAAAGATTGAACATATATATAGAGACAAAGAAGGTGCAACCAATCCCATGCAGCTTACCCACTGCACACATTACACCAGCAAAACTCCTCTTGGTAAAAACAGCTCAAATAAAAAAGGTTGCATTCAGTATACATACTCCCGCCTAATAAAAGAAATTTCATACGTAATTTTTATGCTGTCACAGCTATGAAAAAATAACCCTTTCAAATATGCCCTCTATGCCTACCCTTGTGCATTGCCTCTGTCTGATGCTGTTGACAGTCGTAAGTATGATACTCTCAAAATAGAATGGGTCATCTGCTGTTTTTGAAGCCAAATTTATCCAGGTCAAGGTAGGTTTTACAAATTATTCTTATTAGAAACACATGATCAGATGAAGATTACAACCATTGAAGCTTCAGACAAGTCATTGTATTGATGATCCTTATGTAACAAATATAAAGATTAAATGAAATTGTACTGTAGTAATTTGACCAAGAGGCTATCCTAAGGCATAAAAAAGGAAGCCAAATATGAAGAATCCGACTAAAGAAGTTGAACAATTGAAAAATAATGCAAAAGCACTAGACATATACCTTTGCATCGGAAAGTTGCAGTTGAGAAGATTTAAGTAAAGAGTCCTTTTCTGCAGCCTGTTTTTTCAGTTCATCAAGTTTTGCCTCCATTGAATTCAAGTGGTTCTTTGAGATCTCTGTCAATTTCAGGAGTTCATCTTTCTCTAATACTTTCCTTTCTAGATTCTCCACTTGTTCTCTCAGTGCAACCAATTCTTCTGTGTCCTTTTCTGTTGGCAACCCCTTTGAGCATAAAATGGAGAAGCTGTCGGCACAGCCATCTTGATTACTGTCACCATTACCTTGGTCCCTTTCTCCAAAGTCCCTGCGCTTTTTTGTTGGAATAGATTGAGTTACATTCCTTCCTTTTGCTTCAATTGTCTACAAACGAAACCCAGTATCAGCAGCATCCATGAACAGCAGGTTGAATTGCCTCTCTTAAATCATATGACAATAAAAAATTCAAATTGCTGCTTGCAAAGACACAAACAAACCTATGAACCAAAACACAAGTCCACATAGAATCTTAGGACTTCAAGGGGCACTTAAAAATTTAAGTGATGGACCTAGCAGTGCAATACCATCTTTCAGGAAATATTATGACTAAGTGCTAGAAGTCTAATTTCTATTAGATAGAACAGAAGTTTCTCACACCCTTGTTGAAGCATACGAGTAAGTGAAGCCAACCATTCCTATGATGATCCGTTGCTTCCTAAAATCAATGCTAATTCCTCTAGATTTGGGGCAAATGGTAGTTCCCCTCTCCACTCCAACTTGCTTAAAAGCATAATCATTGACGCAATATACAAATACTGGCATCCGATATCATACAGATACAACAAAAATGAAGTATCCTTAGGGAAACAATATTATTACTAGATACATAGTGACGAATATTAACACTAGATGACCTCTTTTCTGGTTTTTCAAACATACTGGTTGTATACTAATATCAAAGATTCACACGTGAAAACAGAGTAGGGGCCATTACCTAGGGTGGTGGTAAGTATCTAGCTATTAACCTTGAATATGTAGGTTCAAATCTAAGAGCACTCATTTTGTACTGATAATGTCAAAGACTAGGTATATATGCAATCCACTCCTCCCACAACATTCAACTAACGAGAACCACACTGGGTAATGACCGTCCATTATTATCCAAAAGATACCAAGTCCCATGCAAGATGTGACACAACATCCAGCGTGTGATCCATTTCCCGTGGATTATGACATGCACTTTAATGAAGTAATAGTTGGAAGTTTTTTCTAGATCAAACAACCTACATTGTTCCTCTCCCATTGATATGTCATAAGTAAGCCTGTCAATGGACCAAATTTTAGCCCAAATCCATTTAATTGGATTAGAAACAAAATTTTAACCCGTTTTTCTGAATCCGTTTAGACTTCTTAAAACGGAAATGGATATGGATATGGATATATACATACGGGAGCGGAGCCAAAAAAATTTTTTAGGGTGGTCACACTAGCATGTTTTAAATTTTTTTTAATAGACCGTAAAAGTTCATAAATTTATATTTATTAAAATTATATTTAATACTTTTTAAACATAAAAAATTAAAAATCAACATACTCATAAACAAAAAAATAATAATTAAAACTCTTATCGAGAATGCAACTAATTATTATTATTTACTATTGACCCTAATATGTTTTTTTTTATTTGAAAATGTTACAAATTAATTTTATCAATAATATTTCTTTTATATATAAAATTGCGATAATAATATTCCATTTATGATCCTATAGTTTACTATATAACGATACACATTTTTTTATAATAACAAAATAATCCCACAATTTAAAAAAATTATAAAATAATATCAATATATTCAAAACATATTCGGACATGTTTAAAAGTTAACAATTATATTATACCTAATTTGAGATTTAATTGATGAAAATCCAATGGTTTGTGACCATTGGATAGATAGTAGAGTTTATTAAATAATAAGACTCACTATTATACTTAATATCACAATGTATTAGGTCATAAAATTAGGTTTCAATAACATTATTCAAAAAATTAACAATCATTAAAGTAAGAGTCTATTTAAATCAATATCACTAAAACACAATATTAGGGTGGACACAATTAAATATGTATAAATTTTATTTAAAAAAATACACGCTTAACATAAAGCAAACAAAATTTGAAGGGGGCATGTGCCCACCCTAGCCCAAGGGTGGCTCCGCCCCTGCATACATACATACATGTATCTCCATCTGTCTCCATACATGTGTGACCATTCATTGAAAATCCAGCATCTTACCTTCTTCGTTTCTCTCCATATCATTCTCTGTATCTCCATCTGTCTCTCTTTCTCTCACTTTTGTTTCTCTCTCTCTCTCTCTCACTTTTGTTTTTCTTTTTTCCTTCTTTCTTTTTTGTCACTGTTTGTCGGATGCTTCTAATGTCTCCCTCTTCCCCTCGGTCGTTTTTCTCTCTCTCTCTCTCTCTCTCCTGTTACCCCCTTACTCTGTCTTCATGACTAAAAAAGGTCTGGGTTTCAATCCATTGGGAAAGCCATGGGTTTCTTCATCTTTACAGTGTAATCAATGGAAAAATCTATAAAAATCTGATTGGATTTGAATATACAAAAGCTAGGGTTTCAACTCAGTTCGAGAACTTGGGATACCAATGGCTCATTAAAGTAAGATTTGATTTGTATATTATTGTTGTGTGGGGTTATTGATAATTTTAGAATGAAATTGAATACAAAATTGTGGGAATTGCATGATTGATTTCACTATTGATTAATTGCTGAGCTTTTGAAAAAAAACTTATACGGATCGAATTAGGTAATCAATTATAAATAAATTCGGCTATGGACGAGAATTTTTAAATCCGTCGGATTAATGGATTGGATTCGGAACTGAAGTTTTTAATTAGATTCAGATCCGGATAGCTCAAAATCCGGTCCAAATCTGATTAGTTGTCATGCCTACTTATAAGGGCTTTTCATGGTTGAAAGTAATTGTAAATAAAGGGATAAAAATGTGTTCAAATTTTAGAACCAGAGGCAAAGGAGAGCAAGAAACAATGATAGTTCTTTCTATTTAAAGAAAGGCTTTAATTTTGGGTCAAAGAGAGTAGAACCAGATTCATCATTTGAACAATTTTCCTTCCCTTCCAACATATTGAAGCATCCTCAACCCGCCTATTCCTATACTATGATGCATGAGAGGTACATAACACACTAGATCAAAAAGACACTTTAGAACAATTAGTCACTTCTAGCGTAACTCTACTTCCTTTAATTTTGTGTAAAGATCAAGGAGAATGAGCTCCATCCATAATTTGTAAGAATATTATGTAATCTCAGAAGAGGAAGGGTTCGAGATTTATCTAGTGTGACATGTCACCTAGTTCAAAGAACCCTAGATACCTTCAAAGTACATGACCACCCAAAAGGGTGTTTTCATGCGTAAGCCATCCCAATTGCTAGAAACATATGGATTAAAACTAGAGTAGGCAACCACTGCAAGAAAAATGTACGAGTGGCAAAAATGTTATACCATATTTCAATTAGGATGGAAATGAAATATAGGTATTCTGGTCAAGCTGAAAATGGTATTAATGCTAAGCCACTCCAACTATGAAATCTATTAGCATTTCCTTTACATACAACCATGAATGTAGAAACTACCAAACACTAGTTGGAGTACCTGAGCTAAGGAGTCTTGGTCTTTCAACATGCGGATAATAATTTTGTGTGACAAACAAATTATGACAACATCATACCAAGAAGGTAAATTTTGACAGTCTATTGCAATGCTTGTGCATGCCCTGGAGCATGGGTGGTGGCACTAAGGGTCTAGGAGGGGCACAGGTCCACCCAGGGAAAAAAAATTTAACCTTTATATATTTTTAATATTTTTTAGATCTATTAAATTGGGGCTCACCATCACTACAAAAAAGTATATAAAATTAGGCCCATGCAAAACATATGAAGTCTGGAGCTAGAGCCAAACGAATAAGACCGATGTCTTAGCAAATGGTGATCTTGTTCGACTGAAAAAGATGTTGATCTTGCCCACCCTAGAAGAAATTCTTGGCTCCACCCCTGCCCTGTCTTGGAGATGGATGCCAACTACGTAAATAAAACACTTGTTACCCCTTAGCTCATTGGCGGTTTTGGCATGTGATTGTCTCGCCCAAAGGCGCCTACACCTTAGCCAAATTGAGTTATACTTAGGCGAAGTATACCCTTGTGCAAAGTTGATAGAAGTCCCATGCATGACTGAGGAAGGCAGCCCATACATAGGTACGTTGGGCATTATTGAGCACAATCAGTAAGTTAATTAAAGACTCATGCATGGGCATGTGACACAAGAAAACATGCAAGCAAGGCAGTCAGGTGGCTTGAAATGTCAGGCAATGCTAGCTTAGAAGACTAAGTCATAGGCTGGGCATGGCTAAGCACGAATGCAAGACAATCAGATGCTGGGGCTCACAAGAAAGGCACATGCATGTGAGGACGTTGTGGCATGTGCCCTGCAGATGGTGGCAGTTCTATGCACTTGTTGGCAAGTACAAAACATAAGAGAGTCTCTGTTATGTGCACACAACATGTAGGGAAGTTGGAGACAGTTGCTGGCTGAGTCAGCCAATAGTTGCAATTGCCTCTGCTATGACCAATACATTGGAGAGAATGACTGAAGGTGTTAGCCATGCTCAGCAGACTTGTGGGCAAATTTAAATTGCTCTGCAGTTGCCTAGGCAGTTGAACTTGTAACCGTCAATCTAAATTTTATAAATAGGCATGCTTGGGTCTGCAGTGCGACCAAGAGAGTTGAACACGTTTTTGTAAACAGACCCAAGGCTGACTTCCCTTTAAGCTTTGTTGAGAAAGAAAAGATTTGACCAATTGGCCTGTAAAGCTTGTGTGCTGTGTGTGAGTTTGCTTACCTTCTCTACTCTGTTCGGGTGTACATTTTGTGAGCGTTTTGAGTGCATGACTGCGACTGAGTATGGATCTCAGTGCTATCACGAGTGAGAAATTTTACCACGTGACAACACTACTAAGTCACTTCAATTAAAGGAGGTTCATTAAAGCCAAGTTTGAAAAGCAAAACATGGACAACAAACACATTCATTTCATATTACTTGTAAATTTGAATGTACAAAATACCACTCATCGATTGGTCCGAGAAAAAGAAAAACCCTATAAAAATACTAGCACAATTATAAAATACATCTTTCAGGAAAATATTTATTAATCATAATTCAAATCAAGCAGCCCAAATTACAAATTTTCAAACTGAATTCAGCATATAAAGCAAGAATTCAACACATACAAAAAAATAAAACCCAATGTACATATACATATTCATATAAAACGTCACGAACAAAAAGACTTACTTTCTTGGACAGTGATTCCCTAGAAGGCGTCTTTGTGTAGATCACTGACCCACGACGCGTAAATGAAGAGTTTGCCTTCCGATCCTACCAGCAGAAGATTAGACAAATTGAAAGTAGAATTACTGTGCCCAGAAAAATAGCTAAGGCTCCACTTAATCGATCAAACAAAAAACACAGCAGAATTACAGAACTAGCAATAAAATTGACTTCACAGATATCGTCATCTACTAAAAACAAATAATCCATTGAAAATTGACAAGTTTCCTTCATTTTCTCTATTACCAAACGGTTAAAAGGGAAATTCGACAAACCCCAAGTTTTATGTAGAGAGAGAGGGCAACACATCTATTGAGAACCAAGTGACCCAAAACAAATCCAACAATAAAAGACCTCCTTTAACCCATCTGGGTTTTTAAGAGAGGGAGAGGAGAGAAATTACTATTAGAGACTGAACGAGAGGGACGATCTCGACGAGGTCGTTGAAGAGAACACGGTCAACGTTCCCGGCTGTTCCGTTGGTGGTGGCGTTGGAGAGAGAAGAAAGAGTTCGGTGGAGGGTTGGTGATGAAGAAAGGTGTTCACCGGAGAGCCAACTCTTTGGGTCTCCTCCGAAACCGGCATCGTCCTGTAAATCGTTCAAGTGTCCGGGTTCGTACATTGGTGCTTGTATACTTGTTTGGAGTGAAGGATTGAGTTGATTAGAGGAAATTGAACAATTTGGTTCTCAATTGAAGAGAGAGAGAGAGAAAGAGAGAGAGACTGTTAGTAAATGAAATTTGAAAATTGTTCTTTTGCGAGCAAGGATCTTACCAACGGAGAAAGAGGGATCTAGTTGGCTAAAATACGGTTGTTTTCAATTTTTTTTTGAAAATATTACACAGGTGACCCTCAAACTAGAACTCTTATCTCAATTAAGTCAATGAACTAATTTTTATGTTAATTAAACCCATAAACTCACTAAATTAAGCAATTTTCAATTTTTTCCTTTCGCCAACATTCCTTAATTTTTTCAACAGAAAGAGTCACATGATTATCATGTGGACAACAGGACAAAGGTATTATATACAAAACAAACAAAACACAAAATCTGGTATTTTAGGCAAAACAAACTAAACTTGCAAGTAAAATTGAGCATCTTTCTGTATACTTTAAAACCTTCAAATTTGATACCCATCAAACAAAACCCTTAAGAATTTTGTTGATCAAGTTCTTGTTCATAGAATTTCAGTTACTCACCTTCAATAATGAAATAATGGAGTGGTAAATACGTGTTATAGATGATATCTTCCATTCGGATTAGATGTACCATAAGTGGTTTATTTAATATTTTTAATTACTTGTGATTTTGGGGTTTTGTTTGTGGGTTGTATTTGCTTTCATTATTAGACATTAGTGATCGTATGAGTGTGATTTTTGCATATTTTTACTCTTTGGGTGTAATATTGTAATGAATTTTGTCGGATTCTTTGTTCATTTGTTTGCTTTGTTACGAAGGTTGCATTAGTTTATAGCATAATTTTAAAACCTGGCCCGGACACCAACCCAGAGAAGGGACCGGGTCAATGAATTTCTGGTTTAACCACTGGGCCACTGGTCGAACCGGTGATATAATAAAAAAATAAAAAATAAATATTAATTATGATAAATAGACTAAAAAATTAAAATAGTTATAAAAATAACATGTTTAATATATATTAAATCAAACAAAGTTATCAACCCTGAATCACTTAATTGCATTCAATTAACAAACCAATGCATTCAATTAACTGTCCAGCCTCCACTCTCAAACTTGAATCACTTAATTGCATTCACTTAATTTTTGAGTTAACAAACACTGAACAAATGATTTAGGATTTAGGGCAAAAACAGAAGAGAAAAAAAAAAGACACAAAAATATAAAAAAAAAAACAAATTTATACTTAAGGAACAAAACCGGCCGGTTTTGTAAACCCGGTCCGGTTTTTACAGGTTACTGGTTTTTTGACCGGTTCATCAGCTTTATTCCGGGTTCTTTGCTCAAACGGTCCAATTACAAAATCAGCCCGGTTAGGGGACCGGTTCATCGGGTTAACCCGCCGGGCCGGGCTGGGTTTTAAAACACTAGTTTATAGGTTATGATATGTTAGACCATCTCCTTTCTTTCTTCAAATTCATACTTAAATTTAAATTTGAGTAAAAAAAAGACTAAAAATAAGTTCCAGTCTTTGACTCAAATCTATATCAAATAAAATGAGACTTATTTTTTTATTTAAATCAAGACAGACTCAAATATTTACTTAAATCTTTAATAGTTAGATTTTACTATTTTAAAAGATCCAATAACCATATTTCACCTTTTTTAAATTTGAGTTTGTCCTACTTTATATTTGAATTTGTTCATTAGAGAGTCTTGTATCAAATCAAGTTTTTTACTCAAATTTGAGTTTGATTTTAAGTTAACATTAGTGATGCCCGTAGAGCAAGTAGTTTAGGGTTATGGGGTGTTTTGTTTAGTTGCATTAGTTTAGTGGATATTTGGTTGCATTACGTTATTGGTTTTTGGTTGCATTACTTTATTGGGTTTTGGTTGCATTAGTTTTTTTGGATATTTGATTATTGGCTATTTGGTTGCTTTAGTGTGCTGGTTTTTGGTTGCATTAGTTTACTGGCAAAACTGAAAGTCTATTTGCCTACATTTATATAATATGCTTTCATTGTGCTATTTCTTCATGTGTAGATTCTACATTATTTGTAAGAGGTGAAAATTGACGATACCTCTCACTAAAGATTTGAATTTGATATTTTTGATAATGAATATTTCTGAACTTGATCTCTCAATTTTTGCTTCTTGCAAAACAAACAAATTATCTAAGATCGAAGTGCTTCGATTGAAGACACTCCGATATTTAAGTCAGTAATGAAATTGAGATAATTGCAAGAAGACCAGGAGAGTTCAACGTTCCTTTCATCTTGGCTTATTCTATTTTTTATAAATGGTCGCCCTTTTAGGATTTTCATGATTTTTGATTCAAGGTGGTACACCTTCCTTCAATTCAGCGATTTAGTTTGGGAAATTGCTAATATTTCTCCATCAAGTCCTGATATTTATAATTTCGTTGATTCGTTTATCCAACTGCCTAAGTTATAGGCGAACATTTATCTTTTTATCTATCATTTTGAACAGCTCGGACATATCAAACGTCGATCACATTTGATATTTGCCGAATAGTTTTAAGGAAATGGTTTGGTACAAACCATTCTCCTCAATCTCCTTCCCAAACACTTTAATAAACTCGCCTTAATACAAGTCGAGCTCTTTCTGTACAGATTGATGAGCTCGGTAATGAATTCTTTGTCTACCGAAGCTCTTGTTAGCTCGGCTTGGTTAAAAGACTTAATCAAGGATTGTTTAACTCGTGATTTGTCTTGTCAATCTCATGTGGGCTCATTTAATACCATAACATGTGTAATAACGGGGGCTAACCCCTTCATTATTCACCTTAAAAACTAAATCATGGTGATCATTTTGAGTGCAGTACACTAGTAGCTCTATTACTTACATTGACTGGGTAGATCCTGACAAAATATCAATTCCTGAACTACATGAGATGGCTAAAAGTTGGGATATATTGTTGTGAGTGCAAGCTAGTATAAGGTTCCCACGATGGATCTCATTAGTGGGTTAAGGATATTGGATAAGGACAAGGACATACTTTCAATGATAGAATGGATACCAACATAAAGTTATTGATATATACTTGGAACATAATCTAGAAATGCATGAAGCTGAAAAGAGGCAAGGAAACCATTCAGCAGCTGATGAAACATACAACGAAGATGGTAGAAATAAACGTAATTCAGATAATTTTCTAGTTATGACATTGATTTACGGAATGAGTGATGATGACTTGTTTGACACCAATATTGACAACTTTGCTGAAAGAAATGGAGTTAAGTCTATCTTGAACCGTCAAAGGACACCAATTCAAGCGAATCGAAAGGCATCATCTGAAGATGGTGTTGTTATCGAAAAATTTGTATGTAATTAAATTATATTAAACTGTATAAAGTCTAACTTATGCACTAGTTTAAACAGAATGTATAGAAATAAAAATCAGTACATTTACATTGACGCAAAATAACACGAATAGTAAAATTCAGAAAATCAGAAATCTAATAATAAAAAACAATAATTCGAGCTGTATGTAATCACAGTTTTCTTAAGACAAATTTGTTTCCTCTCGATACTTAAGGTTGTTAAGCAACTGTTTTCTAAGATATAACTGATTTCATTCTTGAAGATGCAACACTCACCACAACAATTAAGATTTTTAGTGACAATTTTTTTTGTCATTATAAATGCATATGCGTCTTTCGTCACTAAAGAGTGTTACTGATAATTTTTCTATTGTCACTAGGTAGTCAATAAAAACTTATTGTTAATTGTCTATAGTGACAAATTAGAATAATTGTCACTAATTTTGCAATTAGCAGTGACAATACTCTTTCATTACTTAAAAAAAACATTTAGTGACGAATAAAATGGTCACACAAGAATTAAAAAATTTGTCATTAAAAGAGTAATAGCATCACTGAAAGTACAAATATAATAATGAGAATATATTGTCATTCTAAGTTATGTTATAGAGACAAATGTTGTTCGTCATTAAAAGTATATTTTCAAGGACAAATTTTAAATTCATCACTAACTGTGGACCTTTAGTGTCAAATTAAGGTTGTCACAAATTATAGTCCTTAATTGTGTGTCTGTCAATGACGAAAAAAATTTGTTAGTAGAAGTTGAGATTAGAGACGAATTCTTATTTCGTCACTCAAACTCTTTCAAAAATTATTTTTATATTTTTTTACATAAAAATTGATCCATAAAAATAACTTGATAAGAGACATATTACAAACCCAATAATATATTGTCCTGTCATTTACATTCAAACAATATATGACAATTAATATAATAACTGAACCAAAGAACTTAAAATTTATTTTTTTGAAATAAACATATTATATAAACAAAAACAAAATAAGTGTACCACACAAGTGTTTTACTATTGAATAAAAGACATAAGTACGGAAAAGAAAAAAATAAAAGAGGCACATGTGTAGTTTTGTCCGTTGTAAACAACTCGTACCATCAGCCATTAATCTGCATGTAAGAACAAAATAAAATAATGTTAGTATATGTTTTCAACATCCATAAACAATTGAAGATAAGTGTAACTTTTGTAAAACACACCTCATAAACGAGGTTCCTTCAGTATAGATAACATAAAAGCAAAGAAAAAGAATCAAGACAACACCCAAACAGATGCTCCAAAATTTTAAATAAAAATGTGATAAATCTAAATCCAAGTTAATTCGGATCAACTCAAGAAAACATGACTAGATCCGCAAATTATAACATAAATTTGTCTTTGAGAGGTACTATGTTGTATACATGATAGTATATGTGATGTCCACATTATTGAACTATTGGTTAGCTATCCCATGTTTCTGTTACTTCAAGTAAAATTCAAAAGACGACAACAAATATTTCAACACATCTACCAACAAAAATGACTAATCAAAATCAACCATAAAAGAAATTTTTTTTTTAATTAGTTGGTGTACACGTGCGCTGTAAGGAAAGAAGGATGTCCTATGAACTATATTAACATACACTGT